ATATAGCAATGCAAGTAAATTGATCTCTTATTTATTTATTTTTAATTTAATATTTATTCAGTTGTTTGTTGTAAATTTTCAAATATAATCGGTATATTTTAATAATCGTTATTTTATATGAGCGTTGTTTTAAAAGTAAAAAAAAATAACTTTGATAATTAATACTGTTTAAGTTTATTTTAAATTATAAAACTAATTTTGATATAAAAATGCTTCTATAGTATAGATAGGACTATTATAACAAAAGATAAGACAATCTAATTATGTTTAAGCTCTTTTCCTAGAAACTATTCATACACATTGATAAAACTAAATGAGAAGATAAAATAAAAATAATATTTATTCAGAATAAATTTCAAAATAAAAAAAAACCATCACAACAAAAACAGACACCAATAACTGTGCATTTAAAAAAAATCAAGTCTTTATAAAAGCAAACTCTAATTTTCTGGCCCGAACCCAAAAACGAAAATTAACGTATTTTTATGAGGTGTTATCAAGTCCGAACCTAGCCTGATTCATTAAATTGGTTGAATTGCAGATGCCATATACCAGGACTGCAGTGGCGTAGACAAGGGGGGTTTTGGGGTTGAACCTCCCCCCCTTCTCCATAACCTCCAAAAAATTTTCTTATTTAATTAAAAAAAATTTTTTATACGACATCAAAATGAAATATACTTTAAAAAGACAAATAAGAATTTTTAATTTTAAATGATCACATGATTTAAAAATATATATTAAAAATTATATGAACTAAAATATTTAACATCTCAATTCTTGTGAGATATCGGATGCTTTAAAAGCCATCTATGAATCAAAAGATATGAATATCTAATGTATTGAATAAAAAAAATTTGATATTGTTACAACCAACAGAGCAAGAATAATTATAATAATTGATGCAATCATTTGGTTAGGGAGGCAGGGCTTATCAAGAGATCATAGAATATCTGCGGCTCCTTAACACTTACATACTCTTCTCATTATGAAGGGAATTTCAAGGAATTGTTGAAACTTTTATATAATAATGATGATAACTATATAAAGTTTTTGAAAGCTTTGCTAAATATGCCACCTACCTTAGTCCAAGTATTCAAAATGAAATAATAGCCATATGCAATAGATTCATATTGAAAGAAATTTCTACAAAAGTGAAAGTATCACCATGTTTTAGCGTTTTGGCGGATGAGACTTTGGATGTTGGTAACATAGAGCAATTATCCATAGCAGTAACATTTATTGATATGGAATCAGGTGAATTCAAAATGAAAGAACTCTTTGTTCAATTTATTGACTTACATGACACTAAAACAAAGACAATAGCCAAATAAATTTTAGCATCCCTTCAAGACCTAGATTTAAATTTAAATCTAATGAGAGGCCAAGGATATGATGGAATGGTCACGGTCAGTCAAGAATTAGAGAGTTTTTTTAGCACAGCTCTATATTTTCACTGTAGTTATCATTGCTTAAATTTGATGATATATGAGGCATTGGAAATTCGAAACATCCGGAACAGTTTACGTAAAAATATTTTAATTTAATTGGAATTTTAGATTTATTATAGATATCTTTTTATCAGAGTTGTTATCCTGTATCTAGATATAAAAATGTGGTATCTGTATCTAGATAGATTTTTGATTAAATATTCTGTATCTATATTATTTTAGACGTTGTATCTGTATCTAGATCCATTTAAAAAGTATCTTTTAACAACTCTGCTTTTTATAATTCTAATAATTTTTCAAAATTTAGAAACAACATGGTCGGTTTGTGACTTTTTCACATCACCCAAGAAGAGTCAGCTTTTATCCGAACTTTTGATGATATTGAATCAAATAATCAAAAAAAAACTAAAAAGATTTTGTCCAATTAGATTTATTGAAAGTCATCAATCATTAAGACATTTCATCAAATATGAAATTATTTTTGCAGCGCTCGAATCCCATATCACGCAAGGAAAAAGATTCCGTAGATGCTGAAAATCTCTTGCTAGCTTTACGAAGCCAAAATTTTTAATATCAATTCAATGTGTATTTTTTTTAATTAATTATACATATGATTTGATTTTAGCAAAATGCTACAAAAAATTGATTTGAATTTAAGGGAGGTTATGAATGGGGCAAAGGATATTGTTGAAATATTAACAAATACCAGAGATAATGTGGATGAAAATTTCGGGTTAGGGTTAGGGTTAGGGTACGAGAAAGTAAAGGAGATCGCTAATATGTTTAAAATTGAAATTTTTAAACCTAGAGTAGTTTTTAGACAGTCCAATCGCTTAAATATTGATGCATTTACGATTGAGGATTTTTATAGAATAAATATTTTTATTCCCCTTATTGATACATTTTTATTTCAATTAAAGGAAAGATTTATTAATCACAATTTTATTTTTAAAAGCTTGTATTTTCTGAATTGTTGATTAAACTTGAAATGCGAGAAGATATTAAGAAAATCTCAGAGTTTATTCTGATGATTTATCAGGATCGTATGATAAGTTATTTTGTGATATCGATGGTATAAAAATCTTGATAAAATTGAATACTCTTTGAGACCAAAAAATGCTTTGCAGGCCTTTTTCATGTGTAATTGTACTTTGATTCCCTGTCTATTTTTAATAAAAGTATTGCATTCATTTGCAATAAGAATTATTTATATTTTGATTCATTTGTATTAATTATAATTGTTAAATTCTATTTTTTAAATACAGTACAAGAATTACTTATATTTTTAAAAAATATAGTTATTTACAATAAATTTTTAATATAATAATAAAATTTCTACATTTTGATTATTGTATATTATCATTAAAATAAATGCATAGTTAAATAAAGGGATGTTATTTAATGTAGTATGTGGGAATATTTTCAGGAGCTTCTCAACTTTAATCCCCACATACTACATTTAGTTGACACTCCCCATGTCAAAACCTTATACCACCAATAACAGAACAAGAGATAATCATATGCCTCCAGCATATGAAAAACAAAAAGCTAGGGGTCCAGATGATATTCCAATAGAAAGCCTTAAAGCACCTCACAAATCTATACAATAAAATACTTGGAAACTAAGAGGTTCCTCAAAATGGAGGCAGAGCTATCTAGTTCCTATCTTCATAAATAAAGGGGACCCACACAATTGTCAAAATTACAGGGGCATAAAACTAATGTCACACTGTCTATACGAAAAAATAATAGAAAAAAGATTAAGAGACATAATCGAAATAGGAGAGACTCAGTTTGGCTTTATGCCTGGAAGATCAACAACTGATGCTATCCACGCAATTAGGCAAATGAGTGAAAAATACAGGGAAAAGAACAAAAAGCTACACATGGTCTTTCTCGATCTAGAAAAGGCCTTCGATAGAAAGAAAACTTATCTGGTGGGCGCTACGCCATAAAAAGGTTCCCGAAAAATATATAAGAATAATACAGGATATGTATATGGGCCATACAACAATGGTCCGTAGCACAACAGGTACTTCAGCAGGCTTCACAATAGCCGAAGGAGTTCATCAAGGGTCGGCTCTCAGCCCACTTCTCTTCATTACAGTAATAGATGTATTAACACAGTCTATACCTCAAACACGTGGAATATGATATTTGCAGATGATATTGTGATACTTGCCGAATCCAAGGAGAAAGAAAAATTAGTGAGTTGGATAAATATCCTAGAAAAGCACGGACTAAAAGTAAATAGAGAAAAGACGAAATATATGGTGATAGGAGGAGATGAAACAGAGAGTATTGATATAAATGAATGGCAGATATCGGCAACTGAAAGCTGCAAATATTTGGGCTCCACTATACAAACAAACGGCACAATAGATAAAGAGTAAAATTAATCAAGGGTGGTTAAAGTGGAGATCTTTATCTGGAGTGCTATTTGACAAAAGAATCCCACACAAATTAAAAGGAAAAATTAACAGTTCCATAGTACAACCAACTATTCTATATAGTTCGGAAACATGGCCAACCAAAGAATCAGACGAGAGAAGTCTACAAACTATGGAGATGAGAATGCTGGGGATGATTGTTGGGGTAACAAGAGAGGATAAAGTGCGCAGTACAAGAATACTAAGTAGTTTAAAGGTAGTGTCCATTAAGACTAAGTTAATGGTAAACAGACTTAGGTGGTAAAGGCACACAATGAGAAGGCCTATGAACTACATAGGAAATAAGGTTGAGAGTTTGGAAGTGATGGGCAAACGTAAAAGAGGAAGGCCAAAACTTCAATGGGGCCATAAAGTTAGAGCCAATATAAAGAAGTATAAATTAGATAAAAGAGATAGTATGAATAACATAAAGTGGAGAGAGATGTTGAAGGAGCTTACCACCAGAAAAGGTGAAAGCTAAAGAGAAAAAAAAAATTTATACTAAAGCATTTTAATAATAAATAAAATCTATAATGAAATTCTCTAAAATTTAATTAAAATAATTATTTTTAACATTCAATAAGATATATTGAAGTGATCATAAAAAATGGAAGGTTTGGGGGCAATTTTTTTTTTCTTTCTACACTGGATGGATTAATTTACAATTGACTAAACATTGATAAAATTTTTATAATAATGCTTCCAGCCGCTTATTAATCATAAATATGGCCAAATTACTAATATTTTTTCATTTATGCTGGCTAGTGGTTAGACACGAATAAAGCACACCCCCCCCCACCCATGGATGAATCCTGGCTACGCCACTGCAGGACCGTAAAATGATATGATTTTAAAAATCGCCGTGACTAAAAACTAGGAAGGGTGTTAGGAAATATTTTCTTAGCCGGCCAGTATCCAATATATTAAATTGCATCGTTGTTGATAAATAACATGGCGGGTTTATTTGAAAATTAAATAGTTACCTATATTTTCGATTTCCCTTTCAAGCCACTTATTGAATACATCAAATTCTAAAAGCCTGGACCGGTCTAAAAAAATTTAAAAATCTTGACCTTGCCATGTCTGAAAATGCAAATTTTGTATAAAATATCGATAATATTACCTCAATGTGTTAGATTTGGCCTTCAAGTTTTCCCATTTCCCGTTGACATCGTCTAGCTTGCTCTTAAGTTGCATGGATTCCTCATGATTTTTAAAAAGGGTGGGGTCTCCCAAAATTTTCTTTCCATTTTCGTTGAGAATGTTGTAACCAACTCTGTGACTTTCGAGATCTCTTTGAAATTCCTATTTTAAATATACATGATTATTTTTTAAATATAATTTTAAGTTAGACTTTAAAAAAAAAGTAAAATATAGAATTTTGTGGACAAATACAAAACCCTCAAAAATATTATTGAATAATTTATATAGTATATTTTAGGTACTGGAGAGATGATTGGATTTAGAACTAGTCCATAGTGAAACATCAAATATAATTTGTATGCCGAATATAAGAGAGTAAGTGCCAGAAGCGACAGAACTATGGTAAAAATTTCCAGATTTTAGCGATGTTTAAAAAAAAATCGAAGTTTTATATCGAATATATTTAGTTTAGATATAAATTTTCGCAAATTCTTTTTGTCCTTAGTGTAAAAAAAAAATATGTACGAAAGGAAATAGAACATAAAGGACATATTGAATCGATTTAGATAAAAAGAAAGAAAAATTCGTTTCGTATTTTAAATAATGACCGTATTTTTTATATAAAAATATATATTATATAAAAAAAATTTTTTAAAATAATTTAAGAATATAAATATTTATGACAAAAGACTTCATTAAAAAAAAATATGAAGAAAAGGTTTGCTTTTTTTTAAAAAAAAAAAGAAGATTTACTTAAAAATTAACAAGAACTTAAGAGGAGCAAACAATCTCGATTTCACTATATTGATTTTTCGATAGGCGCTTAAAAACCGCACAATAAAAAGTTTTTTTTTCAATGTTAAATCGGTGCTCGAACGTTTTCTTTACTTTTCAGATATTTTTTTACACATGGTAAATTATTTTTTTGTTTTGTAAAAAAAAAAAAAAAATTAAACCTTCAAAAAATAAAGAAGAAACCTTATTTTAAAGATTTGATTATTCAGTTGTTGTGATTGACAAAAAAAAATTCTTTTGACAAATGGTTATAAATGATGTTTTCCAGAGTTTGAAATTCTTTTCAAAATAAATAAAAAATCTAACAAAGAATTTTGTGATTTTTATGCAAAGCACACATTTTTTTAAAAACGAATCTGATCTTCTTGAATATTTTCTGTTGCTCGGCAATTTTTTCAAAACTCTGAACTAAGGTAGGAATAATTAATTTATAAAAACAAGCCATTATGTATGATTTATAAATACGAATCGAAATAATGAAATTGCAACAGCTCTTTACGTATATTTCAAAAAGTAGTTTAGTTGTGATGAATTAGCTATGATTTGGCAAATCGCAAAACGTACGGTAAAATAAAATAGCGGCCGGGCTAAAAAAATCAATTATATCAATTGTTGGATTTTGTTAAAAAATCCAATCCTAACGATCTAGGTAAAATAATTAAAGGTATAAAATTTTTTATTAAGGCTGTATATAAAATATCAAAAAAAAAATCGAAAACTTTTGAAACTTTATCTAAAAAAATAAAAATATGTCCAAATATAATTTTAGAAAATTTAACAAAATGATTTCATTAAAATTTCAAAACTTTCTGAAAGTTCTAAAACTATTAGAATTTTTTTATAAAAGATTTTAAACATAGCCTATAATTATATATCTTTTTAAAGGTTAAATCATCCTCCAATATATAAACGATAGATGAATAAAAGATTTCGAAAATTTATTATTATTTTTAAAGTTTCTGAATAAAAAAATAAACTATTTTAAAAATAAAATCAATATTGATTATCGGTAAAATAAAAATCCTGCATTATTATTTTTTCTTTCTGTTATAACAATCGAACGAGGCCATATAAATATCTTCTCATTAAGGTGACATGTGGTTAACGATAACAATTAATACTATATATTTTTTAAAATCGATTAAAATGAATATTAATAAATTGTCAAAAATTTTTTATATCTTTTGCAACTATCATATGATCTGTCACTATTATTATACCTAAAGCTATGACCAAAATCTTTATAAAAATTTTAAACAATTTTAAAATTTTCGAAAGTTTTTAAATTTTAAATAAAATCATAAGTTAAATTTTTGAAATTTTTTAGAATTCTATTTTGGACATGTTTTTATTTATTTATTATTTTAAGAAAAAGTTTATTTCTATTTTTTCGAGTTTTAAAGTTTGTGAATCGAATTTTTGATATGTTGGACGCAGCTTAACAAGAAACGAAATAAATTATTAAGTAGGGGAAATTGATTTTTAGACGATGTTTAAACCTCTATAGTTATTATAGATAAGCAACGTCATAAATAGATCACCTATATATTACAGATCTATAAATTATCGCAATTTTTAGTTAATTTTTGAATTTTACGCATTATTTATTATTTTTTTTACAGATTTGAGCGGAATGGTTCTATGGGGCGGAGGCGAGAATGTAGTTTCCTCGAATACTCCTTTATAGGAAGGCGTAGCTGTTCTTAGCTGCTCATAACTTTTGGAAGGTAGGCTGGGCGTATGATGGTTTTGATAAAAAGAATTTTTCCTTCTTTTGTAACAATCGGCGTGTGATAGACGATTCAATCTTTGGCGGTCCAAAAAGCATATGACATCTTTCCCATCGTAGTGCGGTCCAGGACTTATCAAACCCTGATGAATGACAGTCCTCTCGAGTATATTGGAAGTCGTCTGTATATCAAAACCGTGTCGGTTTATTCTGCGAGATAGTGGGCTAGATAAATTAGATTGAGAATTATCGCTAACTCTATAACCTCTGCTAATAGGATTGAGTGAAGATTTATGAGTGAATTTACCAATATCGTAGCCATAATTATTATAACTATCTAAATTGTCAGCTTGAAAAGCTTCGGTTAAATAATCGACCGGTGGAGACGGGGGAATGTAATGCGCTTTAACGGCTATGGGAGGCTGATCAAAATAATAGTAGAAACAATGACACCGTTGGCAAGGATGATTTTCCAGCAAAGCAAAGCTATAATTCTGACTACGAGCCGTGATGTCTTGAAGGGAATGGTTCATAAAATTTTGGTATTTTATGAATTCTTGTCAAAAATGGAATATATGCCACTAGACAAGTGCAAAAGGATTTACGAAATATGTTTTTTTATAACGTTTTTTAAAGAAAAATATTATATTGCGAATAGGTAACACCAAAAAAAGCATCCTCTTTTTAAATACAAGTAAAGAGATTGTGTTAAAGTGTCAGCTACACTAAAACATTTAAAATTTTATACAAATTTAAACATTTTTTATTAAAAAAAATATGTTAACTATAAATGTAAATAATATTTTTTAATAATATTAAATATTGGAATTTTTTTTTAAAGAATAACATTAATTTTGCGATAAAAGGTATAGCCTTATTGGAAAAGAAGAAAAAAAAATGCATAGATCACATATTTTTTTTAAAAATTATCGATAATTTTTATTAATTTTATAATTAAATGTGAAGAGACGAAGAGTTAATTCCCTCTTCCTTCTTTACTAATTAATAATTTTGTATAAAATTAGATTTTTTTATTATATATAAAAGGATATTGATATTATTTTTAAAAAAATTTAAAATAGAAAAATATGAAACTTAAATTTGTTATAAATAAAAAAAACTATTGAACAGAAAAAAATAGGAAAATTGTTACACAATGAAATGACAATATTAATAATAATATAAAATTTTTAGTAATAATGTATTCAATTAATTTAATGGCTATTATTAAATATATTTTTTTAAAAAATAAATAATATAAAACAGCTAATTTAAATCTAATAAAATCTCCACGATATATACTATTAACAAAGAGAAATTAATTGAAATAGAGTACATCGCGTTTTTATAAGCATCAAGGAAGGAGGGGGGGGGGGCTTTTGAATTAAACAGAAAAACTATTTCTGTTTTTTTATTTTTAATTAAAATTTGATGGAATACACTAAGGATTTTTATGTTTAATTTTTATTGATCAGTACTATTAAAAAAATATTATAAGCTTAATCAAAAGTTAATCAACTGGCATTGTTATTTGCTAATTTCAAATTTTTAGATTTCATACTTTATTAGTTAAAAAATTTTTTTTAAAAAAATACAAAAAATTGCCATTAATTTAAATCGGAGGGATGGAGAGAATTAAAATAAAATTAGACGATATAATGAATAGAACGAGATGATTTCAAAAAAAAAACGTTTAGTGGAATGATGTACAAAATGGAAAAGACTGATTTTAATTATGATTCGGCCTCGTGCCATCGATTTTTTAAATATAATTTCGAAGGCAGGCTATAATTTCCTAAGTTCTAAATAATTAGATGTGTAAAAGTTGGTTAAGATATTGTAACGTCCAAACCAAATCGATTTTCAATAAATAGTCTTCGGTCCGGGTTTATAAAAATATTACGGTTTTTTTCACCTAATTATATAAAAAAATATGGCGGAGATTCGGCCTAAACCGAAAAACAATACATAAACAGTTTTAAATCTGTATTTGTTCGACGAAATGAAAGGAATAATAAACGGATGGAGTTGTCAATCTTAATGACCAACAATTTATAGAAACAGAACTTTGGAACTAAGTTACCTTTTATCACTTTATTATTATTCATCATACAATAAACAAGGGTGTTGATAAACATTATTTTCAAAATTAGCGTTAAAAAAGTGGCCAGCTATTAGCTATTACATTTTAAAATTAGCTTTAGCTACTTTATAAAAAAAAATACAAATTTGAACATTGGGCAATTATTGCATAAAATGAGAAGAAGAAAAATAAAGGTTTTTTTTATTTTACATTTTAATAACAAAATGAATTTTATATTTTTATCCCCAAGTCTTGAGCGTTAATCACTAAACTCACAAAATATAAGTTTATTTAACTTGGTTAAATAACCGTTTAACCAGCACTTGATAGTAGCGGTCTTTTTAATTCATTATATTTATAAAATAAGGAAAGTCATGAAATATGTTTATGGTGCTATTATATTAGTATCATTCTTGTCAAAAAAATCATCCAGAGAAGTGATTTTATTTATGGTTACAAATTTATGGTTACAAACAATTTATTGTTTTGATTTAATTTAAAAGTATAGAATAGTTGCAAAGCTATTTTTCAAAAAAGAGAAAAATTAGAGCAAAATATAGAAAAAAGTCTCAAAAAAATTTTCACATTTTATTAGTCATTTTTATTTCCCCTATTTTTTTTGAATAAATTTGTAATTCAAAATTGAAATAATTTTTTTTGTATAGATAGTAGACTAATTTTTTGAATCATTTGATCAAAATGATCCATATTTTTGTAAAATGCTAATAAATATAGATATAACCTTGACGTTATCTCTAATAATAAAACAGTGTCTTCGATTGATTTCGTATATTTACTTTTTTATTTATTTCTTCCTTCCTTCCGTTCTTATTCACAATTCTATTAAATTTTAACAAAATGATAAAAAGGAATGAATTTAAAGACTTAACCCTTCATAGTCCAGGAGGAAAAAAAATAACGCAAATGACAAGATGGGATTCATAATAATCCCAAATTAAGTATGCTATCTTTCAGAATCCATTTACAAATTTTAAACATATATTGATTATACTTTAGTTATTGTAAGTATTACTACAACCTTTTTAAGTTAATATAATATATAATATATTAATTAGGGCATGGAACGGAACCTTGAGTAAATTTATGGAACGGAATCGGATCTTATCTATTTCTATGATTAAAAATATAAAAAATTATAATCCATTTAACAATGAATATCTTAAGTTCTTTTTATTTTCTTTTTTTTAAAAATAATAATAAATAATCATATTAAAGTATACAATAGTAGAAAAGTAATAACAATTAGCAAACAAGTGGTAGATTAAAAAATTAAAAAGAGGGGAAACATTTTTATCAAATTTAAAAATTAACTGTTTTTTTTCTATAAAAATAATTTTCTTCTTATTAAATAAAACTTTAAATTAGTGTTGTTAAAAGGCTAGTTTTAAGCCGATTTTTAAAACGGCTAATTCAATATTTTAGCCAGAAAAATATTACCTAAGCCTCGAGATTCCGCCAATTGATGTCTGGACCTTTGTGCCATCCAGCGGCGTAGCTACGGGGGTGGTTTTAGGGTTTGGACCCCTCCCAGAGCAAAATTTTTTTTAAGATTATACGTTCAAAAGACTTAAAAGTTACTTTATATCAAATAAATACCATGATTATTTATATTTTTCTAGTTTTGATGTTCGTGGAAGGATAATATATTACTATTGAAATTATTCTGGATAGTATTATTATAAAATCATCGAGATAATCTACTAAATTATAATAATATATTATTGATGCATTAACAATATTTATTATATTATATCGAAGATATTGTTATGATTTTTAAGATAAACCCGACCGAAGGCCGGGCAAAAGGGCCGAAGGCCCGTTAAAGGGGGTCTGGGGGCGAAGCTACCAGTCTTATATATGTATAGACCCCCTCTAAGGAAAATTCCTAGCTACGCCACTGGTGCCATCTATGAGCAAAATTTTCAGGCTTGCGTAATATTCTGGATAAAATATGGAGTTGCCGTTTTTAAAAATCGGCTCAAATCGAGCCGTTTAACAACACTATTTTAAATGAACAATTTTAATTTTCATAATAATAAAAAAAAATCATCCACAGCATAGCTAGGTAAGTGTTGACGACACTCAAATTTATACTAACTCCATAAAGAACCAATATAACTGATAATTTTTTAGAAAATATATTATTGCTTCGATGCATGTAGTTTGATTCGTTTAATGATTAAATAAAGATTAATTAAAATGAGTAAATTTAAAAAATAATTTTTCTAGGAACGATCGATCCGAAAGCTAAAACAAAGAACGCAAAAATGCCCTTGTTCCGGGTCCTTGATATTAATACCAAAAAAAACAAATGAATATATTTTTAATTTTTGGAAGGATTAATTACCTTCCAAAAATTAAAAATACTTGAAGAATGATTAGGCGAGGTTTATGGTCACCCCAATCACCTTTCAATTTTAATCGATACCAATGACCGATACCAACAAATAATTATCCCATAAATTTAAGAAAAAATTAGCCTATATTTAACCACGAATTAATATTTTTAAAAATTGATCTGTTAATTTCTAAATCTATAAGAAGATCGGGGGGGGGGGGGGTGTTAATTTGCCTTCCCATTTCTTTTAAAACAATTTTTTATTTCTTTCTTTTCCACCCTCTCCTCACCAAAACGATTGTGTGTTATTTATGTCATCGCGTAAATTTTTTAAAATTATTTTTATTCCTGCCATCCTATTTTCCAAAAATATCTAATCCTTTCTGAATATCATATATCTATATTAAGAGATTTCAAATTGAAAAATTATATCCTTAAAAATGGAATCATTCATAGTATCACTTGGTTTATAGAACATTAATTCTCCAATTTTGGTCGGAATTGAGTTAGGGGAAAAACCTTTATCCCCGACCGTTTTATATTAAAATTAATCACTTTCGAAAATCAATACCATAGTAGTGGAGATACAATATTATAACATACAATCGATGCATCGACGTTAATAAAAGATGATAAATTTATCTAATTTACCCATATTGGAAATATTTGGCATCTATTTAAACATAATTCATCATCCTGACTAACAAGATTTTTCAAACAATAGAAAGAAAATCATTCCGGACACACGTCAAATTAAATGAGTGTTGCATATTATATGTAAAATTTTTACCTTAATCTGATCAAGCCACACGTTTAAGTGCTCTTCGTCTCGATCCTTTAAAACGTTGTCTATTTCCGTACTCATGACATCTAAAGCCGATGTTTCGGTCAGGAGAGATACATCGAAATCAGAAAGCTGTTTACTAAACTGCCTAATATCTGTAGGAGTAAAAGGTTCAGAGCTGAGGAGACCTCTGTATATTGATTTAAAAAGATATGGTATAAAGTATTTTTAATTATTTTTAGAAAATTTATCTGTATATACATATATGTGTAGTAAGTAATTCAAAACATTAACTGAATGGCCGGGGCCAATAAGCATAACGTTGAAATAAAATGTTATGAAACGTATAAAGTGTTGAAAATTTATTAGATAATAATTTGGTTGGTTAAATAAATAAATTCAAAATATATTCTTGTTTAGCAAAAGAATTTAGAAAATTTTATTAAATGTTAAATGCAAAATTAAATATGAAATAAAAATCATATTCATATTTAAAAACTTCGGAGAGGGATGAAGAGGAACCAGGTACCAAAGTTTATGAATTTCGTTGTGCTTGGCTTTCAGGTTAGAAGTGTCATCATCAGTGTAATCAGTTATCATTTTTTTAGCTAGCGTGTCTAGATCCTTGTTTAGTTTTCCATATGTGGGCACCTTTTTCATGAGGTATTCCTTTAAAATAATAAACAAAAATAAAGATTTTTTTAAAAAAAGCACGATTCAAAGGTCTGCAAAAGATACCCATTTAAAAGGTAGGACATGGGTTTTTATTATGGTTTTTAGGCTCAGGATTTATATTTCCCGCCAGATTTTTAGTATTCTAACTTCAATTCCATCAAATCATGAGGTTTGGGCATGTCGAGCGAAACATGATTGGGTAAAGAGATGCATGCTGTTGGAAGCAATGGGATGATGGCCCCTCGAGGAAGATCCAAAACGGAATAAAAGTGATAAAGGATAATATGAAAAAATGGACATATTGATGCTCAGCAAAGTAAAAAATGGAGAAGGAAATCTTGGCTTTCCCAGGTGAACCTGGAAAACCGCTATTAAACAGAGAAGATATCAATTAATCAGCTAGAAAATCGTATAATGAAACGTATATTCATTTACTGCTCATATTTTCAATTTTTCTTTAAATTTTTTTTATAAATAATCAAAACTATTTTTTTAAAAAAAAGAAATTTTAAAAATTCTAGATCACGCTGTGAAATTATAAAAAATAAAATTCAACGAGCCAAAAAAAACCTAGGATCAATTTTTATAAAATTGAACATGTCAAAAACATCAAAGCAACTTTATATGATGAATATTATAATAAATTTAGTAAAATCATGGAATATCGTTAACTTATGTTTTGTTGAAATATAGATAATAAATATAATGGCATTATCCAAAATATCAAGTATCGAAGAGTATGATGATTATTTTATTTATTAGTAATTAAATTTATAAAGTTGAGATTTTATAACAAATTTTTGATTAATACAAGAACTAACTATAGGAGATCTTTAAGGATATAATTCTGATCTTAAATCAATTTCGACAAAAATAATTGGAAACAGAATTCTATAAATAATCAATGGACGAATTAATTGGATGATATTTTATAATTCCTATTTTACTTTTTTTTACATAATATTAAAAAACTTACATGATTTCTAATAAATTCCTGTTCGGTTATATGATTTTTGTCCTTAACATCTATAAGTTCTCTCAACACCGTCCCATTAATATCTATCCATTGGTTCAATTCAGCGTAATCCTTGAGATATTGATCACAATCAGTCGACATTTGATTTAGGCTTCGAATTTTTCTCTTTATACCATTTAACAACTCTTGGCATTTATCATCTGCTTCTTTGGCTTTTTAAGTGATGTAAAAAAAATATCACATTGATTTTTGTAAGAAAATTACAAAAATTCGAAGCAAGTAGTATTTAATGTTATTATTTATAAATAGTACTAACCTCATAACTCCTCCAGTAGCATCTGTGCTACATGAGAAAAATGATAATATTTGAAATGGATAATGAATATAAATGTTTAATGTTTCTTCAAATGTAATTATTTTACCATTTAATTTTACTTGCAAAAATTGTTGCTATTCAATATAAAAGATACACATAAATAAATGTAAATTATTAAAATTTAAATAATTATTTAATTTTATATCAATTTAATTATATTTTTTCATTAATTTTAAGAAAGGGTTAATCTCAATAAATAGTGAATTTATACATTATTTACAAATTGCTAATTTTTTTATTTTTTGAATTAATAAATAGGTGTGACACTCAGTTAGTTATAAGGAAATCATATATCCTTAGATTTTATATTCACTCATCAACCATTTCTAAGCATTGACAAAGATCTGGTGGGTTATATAGAGTGGCTGGATGTAACTATCCTACAGGGTTGAATTATATATCATGGGAACTAAAGATATAATGCTATTAGACTAATTTATATATGGTGGAAAAAAATGATTGAAACAGCTTATCCGATTCCTGAAAATTTAAATATTGTTATCAAAAATAGGCGATATTCTTCCGTTAAATATAGGTGTTTTTTTAATTGGTATTTGACATCAGAGCCCCCTCTTATAAATTATACTTGCTTAAAACATTTATTTTGATTCACTTCTAGTAGGAAACGAAAGTGCGAAATTCACATCATCCCTTGTATTAACAAAATAATTTGACAATCGTCAAATTTACATTGCTTTAACTAGGTATGGAAATGAACTTCGAGGGAAATACATAAGTCGGTCAAAAGAAATAAAATTACTATCCATTTGTAGTCTCTAATGTTGTTAAAAGGCCTGCTTTTGGTCGATTTTTAAAAATGGCCGGATTAAGATTTTAGCTAAAATAATATTATCTAAGCCTGGAAATTTTGCTCACAGATGGAAGATCTATTTGCCAATCTCGAGGTTTACATAATATAACTTTGGCTAAAATTTTAATTAGGCCGTTTAAAAGTCAACCCTAATAGGGTCGGTCGTTTAACAACACTAGTCTCTACGCTACATATTATACTAATAAAGTAATCACTTGAAAAAAAAATTGTTAAATCGGTGGATTATTCCTAGGAGTGAGGAATTAATAAATATTGACATTTGGGTTGGGTCGGATGTTTTTACAAATTCGGTTACGATGTGTTAATAGGTATCTGGGAATTTGATGATATATCACCTAAAAATAATAGACCTATTTTCAACTACTTTAATTATTCTTTTTTCAAATTATTAATGAGTTAGTATATTTGTATTATAAGCAAGAGTAGATTAAAATGGTAGCCTTCAACTTTAAACAAGATGAGACTGAGATAGGATACCCTAGGTTTTTAAAAACCCCAGTTCGGGTCGATTTTTAAAAACGACCTGATTAAGATTTTTACCAAAATAATATTATGTAAACCTTAAGATTTGGCAAATAGAGGTCCAAACCTTTCAGCTATCTATGAGCAAAAATCTTCAGGCTTATATAATATTATTTTAACTAAAATCTTAATCGGGTGGTTTTAAAAATCACCCCAAATCGGGCATTTTACAATATTGGGATATCCATCATTTCAATTATAAAAAAAATTTTCCTTAAAATTTAATTACCTTGCATATTGTCATAGCCAGCTTGATTAAGCATTTTATTATTTTCTAATTTAGTAATGTGATCAATGTGATTTTTCAAATTGTTAACTTCGTTGCTAAATTTCTAATAGAAAAAAAGGAAAATAAAAAGATTTAGGTATATACTTTTTTAAAAATATATTAAATGGGGTTTCATTCAAAAATTTATGTATTATTTCAAGCACCAAAACTTAACCTCATTTTTTTTACCCTTCTAAAGGATTAAATTATCTAGTATCATACCCAATGCATCAAATCAATTTATTTAAATTATAAAGGTCCTGACCGTTAAATCCGATATTTCTTTATTGATTTCATATGGATTTATAACGTCCACGATTCTCGAAGATAAGAAATTTTCGATGGTGTTCAATTTATCTGTTATCTCGTAAAGGTCCTGTTGAACTTTGGGCCATTTAGCTTGGACATTCGGTTCAGAGTCTTTCGTATATATATAAAGCTTACATTAGGTGAGTATATGTATATAAATTTTTTAACGGAAGAATGAATGGCTAGATTATAAAAGCTAGAAGATAAAGTTCACCTAAATGGAGGCGAAAATATTTTCTTCATATGTAGGATTGGAATTGAACTTCAAAAGCAAACAGAAAATTTAGAGTTGATTTTTAATTTTAAACAAAAAAAAACTTCCATTTTTCCAAAAAATTCCAAATAAATATAAGCAAAATCATAAATTAATATAATGGTTTATATGTCTCATAAAGGCAGCATAAGAAAAGTCATAATTTAAACTAATGAAATGTACATCCCACTACCATAATTTTTTTTTTCAAATTAAAGTTTTCATTGTTTTGAACCTAAAATAAGTTGGCCCGTAACCGTTTTCCTAATGTTTAGGGGTTCTATCCCTTTCAAAAAGTCCCAATCGTTGTTAATGGCCTTGACGTTGTCTATGATACCTTTCGGAACTGAAAATTCATCAGAATCGTAGAGGGAATTATAACGTGAACCTGTAAATTTAAGTTGACAACATGTACAAAATCCTAAGTTATTCATAAAATAAAATTTGACGCCTTATATCTCGTTTATAACAACCGCTAAAATAGTGCTACATCGCGTCGCTCACAAAAAAATACATGATAAATTATAGAACTGCTATTGTTTGCCCATGAATTATGCATCGCTTAACTATTATCGCGATAACTATAAACGAGATGTTATGCTTAATGTTATTATACCTTCTTTGAAAGGTTATAGAAATGGTTTATCCAATATTTTTTATAAGGTTTTTTCTTTCAAGAATGATCTTGATTAAATCCGAATAAAAGATTGTTACTGTACATGTATACAATGTAATCTTATTTATAATAGATCTATAATATTTTTAAAAAATCATGAGCCAACAGAAGTAATTACGAAAAAAAGTGGGATTAGTTACATTTTTAACATCAGATTATTAATAATTTATATTATAGCTTCATAAGCCAAGCTGCCCTGTGACTCATAGGCTCTCATATTATATTTTCTAGCGGGCCTGGGCCGGGCCTAGATGTGTGAAAAAAATTAATGGGCTTGAACCTAAAATTTTTTTATTTTAATTTTAGCTTCCTTAAAACAGTTGCTAATTTAAAAAATATTGCAATTTTTTTCTTCTAATAATAATAAATTTAAGTATTGTAAACAAAATGATTGCCTAAATACACTTATGTATTGTTTATTTTTATTAAAATAAATTTTTGGATATCCGCATGTATCGGGCCTGGTAAAAATTTTGAACTTATAATAGGACTGGGAATTTTTTTTTTAATAGTATATATGGGCCGAACCGGGCCTAAAAATATTTTACTATGGGACTGGGCCTGGTTTGATAAAAAAAAATTAAGGCCCATGAAGATCTCTGATCTATATAGTATAATATGATAAAAAAATTAGCATAAAATATTGTGTATACCTTCATTTAAAAGTTGAATGAACGTGTAGTTAAGTTGATCATAATCTTGGGTATGCTCCTCGAGCTTAGCATGGAGATTCTGGGTTAATTTAAATTTTATTACTTATAAATAATAAGGAATGCCTAAATAGTATAATAATGTAAAGATTAGTTAAAAAATACTTGTTATAGATCAATTGCAAATTTGACAAGCTTTTATAAAGAAAAACTTCCTAAAATCAAAATATAATTTGATAAGCCCTTTTTTTAAAGCGCGTTACTGAGTAAGATATTTACAGAAAAAAGTATACATATTTTTTTTCAACTTAATTATTTTTAAATTAGATTTAGATAGTTTTCGAAAATAGATCTGAATAATCCTTTTTCTTGTAGGAAGAGCTAATATCTCATTTATAAAAATCGGTTTAATTTGATGTTTATTATGATCACTTACGTTTATATCATCTTCTTTCAAACGGGGTAGATTTTTTTCCGTATTTTTCCTGGTTGAGCTAAGCCACGAACCTAGATCATCTATTTGTTGGTTGAAATGGAACAACCTGTGATAACTGTCTTCAGTTTCTTTGCGTTTGTTATCGAACTCAGAAGAAATCTAACAAGAAAAAATCATAATTTTAATATCCTACAGTTATATACAACAATCATATTCTGATAATCTGCGTTCTATGCATTGCACAGTTGCATTACTGGACAAACACATCTAAATAACGAGTGATAGCCAGACTATTATAAAATGCATTAATAGCTCTAATTAGGAATTTTAATTTCAAAAATATAATATATATTACAGCATAATATTTTTCTTTGGCTTGGGATATCAATTGACCTATGCGATCAGCCTTTTCGGGAGATAGATCGGCCGTCGATTTAAGTTCGTTCAAAGATTTTTCCGCTTCTTTTAAAACATTTAACTTTGCCGGGAATTGAGCCCCTTCTTTCTAAATTCGAAGTAATAGATAATATTAATAATTGTTTTCGATTAATATTAATTAAAAAAACTCATTTACTCGAAAACATGTAGCATTTTTACTTACTTTATTTTATCTTTTCCGTTTTTAAAAAAAAAGAAAAGATTTTTTCAACACCATATAAAATTTGGCAAGAGTCCTAAAATGATCTCTCACTTTTTTATATAAATAACATAAGGTACAAAGTTTTCTTTTAGACTATTTAAATGAATAAATACTTTGATAATTTATATCCATTGCTTCTGCCATAAATAATATTCAAAGTATCAACGACTCAATCTAGTTCACTTAGTCATAAGACCTGCAAAATTCATTTTTAAGCCCGAGCCCGCCTGAAACCTGATGGCAAAAAATTAAGATTTAAGCATGGCTTGGCCCAGTACGGCCTGAATTAAAAAAAAGATTCAGGGAAAAAATTTCAACCCTTATATTATATACCATTTTTATGTTATGCAATAAATTTTAATATTCAGTAATAACCCCTGATAATTTAATTATATTTATCTATTTTATTCTATATATTACAAAATATGACATGTTTTTCAAAGCTTTTCTGATTCTGATATTCAATCAATCGAAAAAAAGGAAGAAAATATAGCGTTAAAATTTTTCGAGTCAAGGGACAGGTTATATTTTATTAATATTCTCCCTATTAAATGGATCCTACATGACTATGGTCACAATAAGAATATTGCCAATATATAGTTTTTTTGATTTGTTTGGTCGATGTTTTTAAAATAAAATAAAAATAGGGTAAACTAGTGACAAAAATTTGTAATGGTAAAGATCTTTAATGGAAATAAACCTTAAAGGTAGTAATGGAAATCCTCAAAGCCGACTCGTTTAGAAAGGGTACCCTTTCTTCAGTTAAATTCTCACATTTTCTCAACCATATCGCTAGGGATTGAAGTTTATTGACCAAATCAATGGCTTCAGCTGGCTCGGAATCGGATTTTGAAGTGGGAGTTGTTTGGAGCACAGACTTGTATACAGGTGTCATTTGGTCAATTCTAAAAATTTAGAAGATAAAATATTTTATAATTTTTTTTAAATTAATAAAAGTTATAAGCTTCTATTTGCAGACATTTTTTTACGAAAAATTTTGCTCTTTCCAAAATTAAATGTAGATATTAGTTGAATTACTTCATTAATTTAATACCTGTTTTTGTAAGTATCGTTCAAAATTTTCCAGTCGGTTTTAAGCTTACTCATTGAATCCTCAATTTGATGGGTTATGCTGGGGTCATCAAGTTTGTATAAAATTTCGTTCTTGTGATTTTCGGATCCTTCTATACCAGGGGATATGGCATCGATCGTTTCTTTGATGCTCTAAAAAAATTGGCAGGTAAAAAATACATATAAATTAGAACTTTGAACAAACCGCTTCAACCGAAGTTGGTCGGTTGGATAAACATTTTCTCGGGCTAGGATCATGATTTCAAATTCTATTTTGTCTAAGCTTCGACAAAATTTTTAATGATTTTGTTTACCTAATGTTTTTTATGAATATTATTTTCAAAAATAACCCAAAATTGTTTATATACCTCGGCATTTATAATTTCTCCGATTAAACAGTCTAACAAAAAAAATATATGAATCAGATCGGAATATAAAATACAATTTCGAATAGGATCATGGCAAAAAAAAATTGGATTGATTGAACAAAAAATTTATTGTTTCTCGGATTGGGTATGATCTAAAAAAATAGGTCCAATGCAGGACTCTAATATAAATTAGCGATTCACGGGTAAATAGTTATCAAAATAAAAAGAGAAAGAATATATAAAAAAAAAATAAGAAATTGGCATACATAAGCAGTTGGAGAAAGGATAAAAAAAGTGTCAGCATACCTAAATTTATTAAGTATGAATAGATAAAGAGAATTCTGAGAAGGCTTAAATTTACCCACAAAAAAACGACTTAGGCAACTGGCTAGAAGCTTAGGTCGATCATGCCTAGAATACCAAACAAGAAAATATATATTAGACCCCTATACGAACAAATACAGCTTGACAGAAGTTGTAGTAAAGGTTTATATGAAAAAATTTTAATCGGAAGATATGCTATTTCAATTTCAAGCATCTTTTAAATTATGTTATCGTCAAAATGTAAACTTTATCAAGGATACAAACCGAATTTTATTTTTCGAATAATTTTATCATAATAAAATGTTATATTTAAAAAAATTATAAGACCATATTCGAATTGTGGAAGTAATTTAAACATAATAATTAAGAGTGGAAATATTCGGACTAGCTGATTTCTTCGACTTAACCTTGAGGTTTAATCCTAAGAAATCAGCGAAAATCTCGAAGTTTAGCCGATTTAGCAATACTAACTAGTAATATGAATAAATTATTAGCCATATTTAATCCAAAGTTCATAGAAACAAATTGTAACTAGCTCACCATAAGTCTTTCTCGCCTCTTTGGTTCCACCTCAGTCATATCCTTCTGTTCTATATTTTTCCCATTTTGGTCAAGATCATCGTCAAACAAAACCGGATCTTTCAGCTTGGCGATCATTTTGGCCAACATATCCTGAATGTTCCCGATTTCCCATAAAAATTCGTAAGGCTCGTCACTGTATTCAAGTCGATCTAATTTACTTTTCTCTGTGCCACTACTAGCAGAAGGATGAGGAAGCTTTTGAGATGCTTGAGTCAATAATCCTTGTTGAAGTTTAGGAGCTGATTGCGAGGGAAACGGTGAATCAACAGTTTTTTGAAGTGAGGTAGGAGAAGATGGAGGCGTTTTAGGGTAATGGCGCGAATCTACGCGAACTTGAGGGCTTAAAGGAGGAAAAATTATATAAATCAATTTTGGTCCGAAAAAGCGAATTCATAGAAATGAGTATTTATTAAAAAACAAATCATAACCCTGAAATAGAGTATTTATTTATTATCAGATTTATTAAAGTAAAATTTTATATTAGAGTATCTTGCTATATATCAGTGTAAAAATAAAAATAATCAATCCTTTTTATATTTCAATTAAACAAAATAATTATCAAAATTCCTCAGTTATAATTGAAATTTTACTATATATTATTGTTTGTTTGCAACAAGAAAAAGATTTGAAAATATCTAAGGAGTCACATTAAGCTTGTGTTGTTACTGGCTCGATTTCGCCGATTTTTAAAAAGGTTAACTCACGATTTTAACCAAAAGTAAGTTACCCATTAGAGATTTTGCCCAAATGTGGCGTATGGGCATCTATTGAAGCTATTTCAAAACTTAGGTATTATTTTGGAGTCATTTAACAACACTGCATTCAGCCATTAACATTGCCCTAAATGAGATGATTAAGTTGTGAAGAATTAAAATAAACAAAATAGACTTAAACATTCGTGAAAGTTCGTTGATTTTTTATAGGACTTTGGTTCACAGATAGAAGGTAAATAAAAAGCAATCTAAATATCAGATCGGTATAGGCAACCAGATCGGTTTTATAGTCATATGGGAAAGTATGATCGGATGGGTGAAAAATTTGTGGTGGGGCACAGCACTAATCATAAAAAAAAGGATCATTTTTAAGAGATGAAATCGTAAAAAGTTTAATTACACTTTTCTGGTCTTTTTATTTCGGTGATTCAATTTTTCGATTTTATCCAATAATTCCTTGGCTAACGGATTGAGCTCTGTTTTCGTAAATACTTTGCTGTCTTGTTTCAAATCGTCTAAATGTTTTAAGTCTTGCATCGTCCCCTACAAATAAATTAATAACAGTGTAAAAAACCCAAAAAAGTGAATTAACTAATCTCTAATATATAATGGATTTTTTATGAATCTGGGCCCGTTTTCAAACTTCTTGTAAATCTGAACCCATTTTTAGAAATATTTTGGGCTCGGAAATTTCCCTTAAAATAAAAATAATAACCTGCTCATGTTCGATTACAGAATCCTTGCTCTCTTCCAAATGTTTTCTAGTGTTTTGAGCATCTTGAACAAAAGATTTCCATTTATCGTTGAGCCCTTGGTATTCTTGTATCTTGTTAATCGCTTTTGATTGAATCTCGTTATCCCACTTGTGTTTTAGCTGATCGTATTCTCGCGATAAAACATCGTCCTTTTTTTCTTCGACTTTTGACCCGAATTTTAATTTATCCTTCAGTTTGTCAATGTAAGTTTCCGTATCTTGATACTCTTTGTTCAAAGCCTTTGAAGAAATAAAAAATTATTTTTAGGAAGAAAGTTACAGTTGTTTGGTATATTTCAATTATCTTATTTAATATTTTTTTTCTCTCGTTTATTTAATTGTATACTAAATTAAAGTTTGCAGTGTTACAGAGTTTATTTAATACGAATGCCCTAAATAGGGGTAACTAAAAAATTATAATGCATGTACGATTTACATTTATTTTTATCTACCACTAGGTAAATAGTGATATGCAGCCCAATTTTTGTTAAAAAAAATTTCCGGCCCTATCCGTGCTTAAAATCGGCCGGGTCAGCAGGTTTCTAATAGAAATAAAAAAAAATGGGACATAATAAACGGTAATATTTAAACATGTATTCTCTTGTCCAAAACATTTTTCAATTCCTTGTCAGATGCTGGCGTAGTCAAAGGTAATTGCGTTTGATGATGAGAAGGTTCCAGCAATTGATTAAGATCGTTCACCTTAGCTATGACGAAAGATATATCCGGTGTCTCAGTTTTTGTCTCGCGTAAATGCGCAGTTTGTGGCAGAGTCTCAATTTTATCCCTTTTGTCGTGAAGTGATGGTTGAGGTACGAGAATCATCGGACTGTAATTTACTAAGGATTCGAGTTTTTGCTTAAAATAATTATAAATATATTATAATAAAATATTATATTTCATTTTAGTCTTCCAGTTTAAGCAAATAACCATTACAAATAAATTCTCACGGTAGTTTTGATGATTAGTAAAAGGTTGTAAGTTCTAATAGTTTAAATATTAATTTCAATTATTTTTTAAAAACACACGTGTCATCTGATTAAACGCTAATATTTAAGCTTAATTTTTGATAACGCATTTGGAGAGGAGAACCCCTCTCCCTAAAAGATAAGTGATCTCCTAATTTTGACCAAGTGAATATATTCCAAATTTAATTTTCGTTAGTTATTTGTCTATTACTAAAAATTATTAATGCTAATGTTTCTTACTAATCTTTCACCAAACCAAACATTTAATCTTTATATATTTTTACTCTCTTTATTTATAGCTTTCTTCTTTTACAAAAATAATTGAAATTTTTTTAAAAATATAAATCTAAAACCTCCAATTTGGGCAACAATTCGTCCAATTGTTTTTTGCAGCTAGCTAATTCGCTAAGGGTTATCATTCTAAAGTTGTCGCTTTTGTCGACTAAGCTTGAGCCCAGAACCTGTGCATTCGATAGAGTAGACCGTATGCCCGGAGCCTCGTTCTTAAGATCGCTTAAAGTTTTCTTTATTTTCGATTATAAAATAGGAGTTTAATAAAGCGCTAGGTGAAGTGTAATTTCAGGGTTTTTTCTGTAAATACCCGCATATCCTTTCAATATACGAAAAGCAAATAATAGAAATTCAATAATTTAGTTAAAGGATACTATTTTAGAAATTTATTCTAATTTCAAAAATGGGGTGTTAAAAACTAAAACACTATATACTTAATGATTAGTGTTGTTAAAGGGCCTGATTTAAATTGATTTTTAAAAACGGCAGATTAAGATTTCAGCCAAAATATTATTATATAAACATGGAGATTTTGCTCATAGATGGCAGAAAGTTTTGGACCTCTATTTTACAAATCTGCCTAAAATCTTTATCTGACCGTTATTAAAAATCGACTCAAATCCGTTTAACAAAAGTAATGATTGAGTCCGATCTGACATTAGCGATATTAAGTTGTTATTGGCCAATAATCGATCTGATAATATTTTTAAGAATGAATGGGGCCTCTCGAAATTCCAGTATTATCCCAGATCAAATCATAAATACTAATAATTATGCGATACTTAATAATATACAATTATTGTTTTAATCTTACCATATATCTATAAAATACGAATAAACCACAACTCTATTTTTATGAATGAGATCATCTACAATTCATCACACGATATTATCAAAAAAATAATTAATTATTTTATACGCGAATCCTATTTCCCCATTTTCTACCAATTTTTTTTTTTAAAATAATAAAGTTTAAAAGTATCAATTACAAATATAAAAAACACATGATTTCTTTTTTAAATAAAAGTGACACTAGAAATTTATATGTATTTACTTGTGTTGTGATATTAAAAATATGTTATTTTTTCAAAAAAAAAATTTTTTATCTTTTTTTTTTTACATATTTACCGGATAATCGAATCCCAATGCAATCAATAAAAAAATCTCTTGATTTTATCGAAAATCATTAAAGTTAAATATATATTTTTTTAAAAAATAGGTTGAATAATCTTTGGGATATTCGTGGATGATATTTCCCTTCCATTTTTGTTATCATTTAATAATTTTTAATGAAAAAAATGGGGAAGAAGAAAGATGGGGAAGGGGGGGGGGTTGTTATTTTATAAATATTATTAATAAAAATAACTTTTCAAAATCAAAAATTAAATCTTTTTTTTATTGAGAACATTTATGAAATCAAATAATCAACGTATTTTACATTATTCCCAGGAGAAACAAGGAAAGATAATCAATTTATAAATGGGAGAGAAGTTGAGTTTTTTTAATAAGAAAAATAAATAAAATTTTAAAGATGGTGGGCCTATTTATAAAGTCTAAGCACATAATAAATAAATTTATAGCTGGGATCAACTCAAATAAAATAAATCATTTACTAAATATGGTTAGGTTAACTACATAAAAAAACATATTATTAAATATCGGCTCATATCCTATATGGCTCAACTAAAGGGGAAATTCCTTGTAATCTCTTAAACTATATAAATCCATTGAAAATTATTAAACATGAAGTTAATGCTGCTAAACAGCTCAACCAATTTTAAAAATGGCTTACTCAATTATTCAGAAAATATAATGCAAGCCTAAAGTTTTTGCGCATAGATGGCACAAAGGTTTGAACTATTCGTGAAATCTCAAGGTTTAGACAATATTTTTGTGGTTAAAATGAGTTATCCTTTTTTTAAAATCGGCTCAAATCTTAACAACATTACATGAAGTTTACCAAGAGTGATAATTAAATTATTTAAGGATGAAAAAATTGTTGGGGAAATTTTCTATACGAATTTTGTTGCAAATTTTCAAGCACAATCGTTTCAAAAATATTATATGTTCGATTGAAAATTATACAATATTCAAACATATACTGTTTTTTTTAAATTATTGTTTCATATGTTTTTTTACATTCCTTATATTATTAAAAATATTTCAAAATAATGATATTTTATTAAATATTTGGGAAAATATAAAAGTATAAATTAGAAATCTGTAAATCCCAGCCCGTATTCGGCCTGAATGGGCTTTTGGACGGGATTATTATTTTTAAAAAAATAATTTGGGCTGAGTAGGGGGACCTAATATTTTTTTTTTAATTTGGCTGGGCTTAAATTTGGGTCGGGATTTTTGGGACAAATAAAAAAATATATTTGTTTGAGATCGGGTCAGGCAAATTTTTTAGAAATTTCGGGCCTGGTTTGTTAAATTAGGCTCGATGCAGATCACTAGTTTAAATTATAAATAAATTGTTGAAAAATTTAAATGATAAAATTTAAATGGGAAAAATAGGAAAAGGAATGAATATAAAGGATTTAATTTGTACTAATTAAAAGCTGTTATTTATTTCTCAATATTCTTTTAGGAATTATAATTATTTTTTATAAAAAATCTAAAAAAAAATTGTCAGTATTTTATTATTTACCAGTATAAATAATCAAGTCAATACCGGTTCCAGATAAAATTTTCAATAAATATCTTTTTTTGTCAATATTTTAATAAACTTGCCGGTAAATATATCTTTTCTGGCACTTTATCTGCATTTATTTATTTTATGCTTTAAAACTTTTATTAAATAGTGATGTGTTTTGGGATAAGGAATCCATGGGAATTCGGTATCTCAATTTTAAATTTACTGAGAGCGATTTTTAATTTTTAAAAGACCTGATTTAATTCGAGCATGACAAAAACCTACCCCTATAAATTTTCGCCATAAACCTTTGCAAATTAAATTAAAATGAAACATTTATATAAATTAAGAGTAGTCAAAAAGTACAAGGGGGTTAAAGTCTGCGTATTCTAGATGTGCTGAAACGCATTTCCAGTCAAATCAAGTTTTAATTGAGAATTTGAATCCTCATGGATTCCATATCCCAATACGACATATAATAATAACATTTAAAAATATATAAAACAAAGGATTACCATTAAAATAAGTATATTATTTAAATTAATTTACCGGTAAAATAAATTCATTAGTACAATTAATTATTATAACTAAATTTTAAGATTTTTTGATATTGGAAATATAAATTTACTATAAATGTCTAATTATTAAAAATTAACCGAGAATCTTGTGTTATTATATTATATTAATCAGAAATCCACATCCCCTCCCCCAAAAAAAATCCTACCTTCAGCCTCATCGCGGTAGGGAGTGGCAACGCCTTCTGACGGCTAATGGAGGCCTAAAAGGTTCCCCGTGGTTTGGGTCTAGAATAGGAACACCGTCTCCTCGATTGGGTAAAAAAAACACCTAGGGGTTGATGTCAGGAAGGGCATCCGATTGTAAAAACCTTTACTAAATTTCCTAATGATTAAATCAGAGGGAAAACTGGCCAACCTGGGTAAATCTGGATATCAGCATTAAACGGAGAAGAAAAATCAGAGGTCCACAGTAGTCAAAAATTTTAGGCCTGACGCAATTAGTAAAAAAAATTAAATCCAGTCCTGAATTATTTTTAATTATTCTTCGGCCGGCCGGGAATTTAAATTTTGTTATTTCGGATAATATTGACAGTATTTTGCTAATTTTTTAGATGGCATATTGATAATGTGAGCACTGAGCAGTAAATGAATATTAACTGCTTAATTCTATGATTTTCTATCTGATTAATTAATATATATTTTTTTAAAAAAATTTAAATCGGCCAGGCTGCCAATGCCTGAATTTTTTAAATTATTCCTATTTTACGGCCTGTTGTATTATTAAATAACAATAAGCGATACCTTGCTGATTGAATATTATAAAAATATATATTGCTTTATTATTAAATATATCCAGCAATATAATTTAAATGACTATAGCATTAAAAAATTTTTTTACTAAAACTTAATTATTAGAGTATATAAATGATTTTTACCTACGACGCCAACACCGGAGCCAAAAATGTGTCGGAAAAATATATTGAACAGTATGTTTTTTTCAATTAAATTTAAAAACACTGCCATATTAATAACATATTAAAGATAGCACTTAAAATAATCATTTCAATCCATACATTTTTTTGTTTCATTTCTTATTATTAAATTGATATCAGATATAGCAACAAATATCATTATATATTTTTAATCGCATTAAGGAAATATTTTCTTAGAATAATTGATATAGGATTAGTTTTATTCAAAAAATGGGTAAGCTAGAGACCTTAAAACTTATAGAAACGGGATCATAAATTATTTCAGAATGGGATTTGATTAAAAAACTGCTAAATTACCTTAAAACCTTCAAGAATACAGTGATTTTTATCCGTTAAAAATAATAACGTATATCGTATCCAGGATTGAGCAAATTTTCAAAAAAATATATTCGAATAAATACGAATATTACTAGACAAATAAGTACTTGAATATAAATATAAATAAGTTTTAAAAAATTGATTTTAAATATAAATACTCTAAATACCTTAAAAAAATCGAAAATACTATTTAAATTCAAATACTTTGACGAATACTTTATGCAAGTCGATTTTTATACCACTACCAATTTTTTTTACTTAAAAATGACATTTTTATCTATCATTTTCGAAAATTCGAATAGTTAGTTTTAAATTATTAAATTTGATCTGCAGCTATACAAATATTATAAATATAAGATCGTATCACATAAATTATATTATAATTGCAAATATCATTAATTGCTCAGTTTCATAGAGTCAGAGTTGTTAAACGCTACCGCTATCGCTATTGGTTAAAAAAGTAGCGCGCTATCGCTATTTGTCAAAAAAAGTAGCTCGCTATTAGCTAGTATTTTTTAAAAGTAGCTTTAGCTACTTTTTATAAAAAAAATTTACAAACAAATTTTTTATTTTTTGCTTATAATGTCATTGTATAGTAAATATATAAAAATCAACACTTATAAATATTAAAATATAGTTAGTTTTGATTATAAAAAAAAATTTATGTAATAAAAATAAATATTGATGCTAATTTGTTGCATTTTAATAATAAAATCATTTCAATATTATCATCCCCAAGTCTAGAGCGACGATCAGAAAGTATAAGTTTTGCCTTATTAACTAATCTCTCGACACTAGCACTTGAGGGTAAGGGCGTATTTAATCTTATATACATATTTTTAATATAAGATAGATTATCAATAATTTTATTTGCAAGTACATCGTATGTCTGGCATCCTATTATCATTTTGAGGGCTAATGCCACAGATCTTCTTTTTAAAGTCCTAGGGTCTAGCCAATGGCCTGTGATTCCCAAATAAGCTCAAAAATATTCAATCAGATCAATTTATAAATATAAATAAGTTTTTACCTTCTGTTATGTGTTCAACTATCTCCCATGGTACATATATATGAAATCTCTGATAACTCTACTATTAGAGCATCTTTCATCATTTTAAAGTTATCTGCTATTTTATTCATTAGTGTCTGGAGGCATAAAATTGTTGCACCAGGGGATAGAGTTTTAATCATCATGGTAAATGATGGATTATCAACTAAGGACATTGGCTGAACTGTATAAATTATAAAATTAAAAATAATTTTATCAGCCAATTTCTGAGAAATATTGTCATTTGCATAATTGATTAATTTGGTTTGAATTGAATTAGTCTTTTTGGATGTAGAGTCGTCTATACCAAAATTATTTAGATGTTTCTCCATTTCCTTAAAACTCATGAACAGTTTTATAAAATAAATATTATTAGAATGTAAAAATGACAACTTACCTTTAGGTGTTTTTTGAGGTTATAGCTACTGGATTGATTTGAGGAAATATTTTTTTTTACATTTTAAACAAATAAATTTGAAACCAGTTTTGGTTATATATTTATTTTAAAAAATTTTCAAATCTAGGGAATGGGAAATTTGTATTATAGCTATTAAGAACATTCTCTTCCCTGGTATCTTCCATTTCATTAATATCATTGTCTGAATCACTTTCAACGATTTGGATATCCATAGGCGATGACATTTTAAATTATTAACACGTGATTTAGGTTTATAATACAATTGAAAATATAAATTACAAATTGAAATTATATTTTAATTTCAAAATTAAATAATAAATCATAAAAATTATAATTATGATATTATATTTAAATTTTCATGTTTACACTTACCTTCATTATATATTTTAAAAGTAGCGAAGTAGCGGCTACTTAGCTACTTTCAAAAAGTAGCGCTCTAATAAATTAAATAATTACAAAAAAGTAGCCGCTATTAGCTATTACCAAAAAAGTTAGCGCGCTACTTTAACAACTCTGCATAGAGTATTATAAAACATAAATTTGAAAAGAATTATTACACATAATGAATCATACTGCAGACACATAATTATATTATAGCATAAATATTTAATAAAATGAAGAAAACATATTTAAAAAATCAAATTAATTACATTCAAAAATGAAAAATAGGATATATTTTACTAGGTTGTGCCTGTCAACCTTAGTGAAAAATAGGAACTGGGCCAGGGCCGGGTACAAATTTGGACGGGTCAGACTATGTAAAAACTGAATTTCATCTGGGCCGGGCTTAAAAATTTTGCCATTAGCAGACCTCTACCTAAAATCATAAGGAAGGAATATGGAATCAACTCATGAACGGAAAGAAATAAAAGAATATCAATTCATTTACTCGGTTTTATTCTCAATTCCCACATTTCATTTATATCGAATAGATGTTCATATTGAAATCCTACCCAACCAATATTTAACTATCATCAATCTCTGCTAAATGATGAAAATTATGAAATAAAATATTAATTTCTATGAAAACTTACAATTTGCAACTCTTGAAGTTCCTAATCATCACATACTCCTGGTGTGCGAAAATTTCTATGGACGAATTGGTTAAGAGTCATTTAAACAATTGTTATATCCATAAGCAATTAATATCTACTTCGATCTTCCATCTGACTGTATTATCTCAAAATAGAGATAGTCAAAGTTAGGTGTTTTCATTTTTGATGAAACCAATAAAAAAAGTAAGTGTTTACCCAATCTTTTAGATTTTTAAACACTCATCATATATGTAATGAACTTTATATAATTTTGTATCCGACCCGAACCCGGTACTAATATTGAAATAGCCAGTATACAAATTAATGTATTGAATAAGATATTCATATTCGAAATAATAGAAATGTTGGCTTTCAGCTAGACAGGGACTTCAGAATTGTTTTGCAGAGCAGAACCTCCTGAGATAGAATATTCCAATTTAAAAAAAATACAATTTATTATATGTATATAAAATATAATTATATTATAATATTTTTCATAGTAAAAATAGGATTTGTATAATAAATTACATCTGCGCAATTGGAGTATATTATAAAAATTACATTTCAAACTTATTTAAAACTATAATTCTTTCATATAGAAATATTAGTTAATAAAATATTTTCATCAAAAGGTTTTAAGAATTAATGGAAAAAGACAAAAGATAATAGTTTACCGCCAATTTTTGTTTATCCTCAAGGGATTTGGCAGGATCCTCAATGTTATCCTGAATTACGGGCTGAGCTTTATCAATCCAATCTTTTAATTTGTTGATACCATCTTTGAAATTCTTGTAATCTATCTCCATATCCTTTAAAAAAAAAATATAGACCTTAATGTTTTATATTTGATAATCTGAGTTTCTAACAATAAAATTCAAACATGTGAATTACTATAAAATAATATCATTTTATTTAGTATAATTAAATATTTGATATTTTTTTTTGAATGATATAATATAATAGATTTTTTTTTAAGGTATAAACTTTTTATTAAGAACTTTATAATATTTAATACATTGAACGTTAAAAGTAAAACATATATACGTAATTTAAAAAAATATATATATTAAAAATGTCATGTAAACTATTTATATAAAATCTATATAAAAAACTGTATAATAAAAAAAATAAAATAATTAGAATAGTAAATTGTATGTTGGGTGGGAGGAGGTCTAGAAAGAGAGCCATGGATGGCAATGCAGTTAGATCTGCATATATCAATAGATATGCGCTGTCTGAGATAGAAGCCTTCCCGAGGGTCACCAGTGATGGCGCGGATTTTTTTACCGAGGGTTTTGAAGAAGGTTAGGGCATGATTGCCAAAAGACCCGGTTGTGTCGGATACGATTGGTATGAGATTACAATTTGTTAGGGAATTGTATTTATTAATTTTCGAGTTTTCAGCTCGCATGAATGAGTTCTTATTAAAGGAGGGAGCAAATCGGTCGATGCAGGTATAGTCCCATGCTAATGGAAGTCCATTACTCCATGGTATTAATGTCAGCCCATCTGGACGTATATTATTCTCGGTTGAGAGGCCACAGGGTTCGAGAGTTGCTGGAATTTGAGCTGAGCGTAGAGCACGGAGAATGGTGCCGTTAACTGCACTGTGTCGAGAATGTCTACCTTTAGAGAATCGACAATGAAGAAGATGGTGTCCAAAACAATCAACGGGTTGGGAACATAATGTACATGTGGAGTTGGCCAGTATATTACAACCAAGACGGAGAACTATTGCTATGCGTAATTCTTCGTTTGTTAAGAGAAGTCCTAAGTTTGAGCTGGGCAAAGCTTCTAACCATTCATAGCCCGATAAGGAAGGCAAAAGTTGTGGAACTTGCAGTTGTGGGAGAGAGAGATGATCAACTGTTAAGGATTTGTTTATGATTGTAAAGCGTCCATAGCATCCAAGATTATCTACGAGTTTTCATCTTTTATGCCATAATTTAAATTCTGCAAGTAATGCATTCTATCCAATGATATTTTAATATCATTAGAATAAAATTGAGCTAAATATTTAATATTATCAATATCAAGAATCGATATTATATTCTGATTCATCCTGAGTTAATATCATTATGAAATTCTTCATCACCATGAGGTGTGTCATAAGTAAATTTCTAAAAAAAATTATATATATCTATCAGCGCCTCCTAAGTTAAGTGAAGAAAATATACTATAAAAATTTGTTGCGATTTCTCTAAGTTATATTAAAAATAAAAATTGAATAAATTTATTTTCCCTTTTTGCTATTATAAATTGAAATATGTACATTTAGCATTTTTTTGTTAACTCCTACTGGTTTATGCACCAGTTCCCTGAGGGCATATCAGTTAGTAATTTATAATTCATTTAATATAAATATGTGTTTAATTTTTATTTTTTCCATCAAACTCATAATTGATAGCTCGAAAACATTCCCTACTAAGTAACGATTAATAGAAATTTAGATCAGGAATGCTCTATTTGGCAGAAAAACATTAAAACTTCTCCAACTTGTTAATTTCACTATGCCTGCAACAAGTGTACTTAGCGAAAGCATCTTTTCAATAGCAGGGTTAATACTAAATGCCATACATCTTTAGCACAACCACAATCTCGATAAAATCCAATTTATTTACGACAATTATACATTAATCAAATAGAATTTCCTAATTTATATTTATAATCTTATATTTTGTTTGCTTTTATAGATAGCTGTTTATATATAAATTTGTTCTAATACTACTATTAAATCGATAAAATGTTATTGATATGATTGTGGCTTTGAGTAAAAAGGCAATTCTTTAATTGATATCCATTTTATCATAAATTCTTTTAGGAATTAGGAATAAATAAATTTATATAGGGGTGGGGCACGGACAATATTTAAGTCTATTTATTATCATTACCACTGATGAAAGTGTGCTCAAATAAATTATAAATATATCAACACATATCCGCCAGCGTCGCCAATTTATTAGGCGACTGCTAACTCGGCTAAAAAATAAACCCCCAAACCTGATTTATATTTCGGTGACTAATATAATTATGACAAAATTCTTTTATATTCTAAAATATTGATTAGTACAATATATTAAATATCAAACCTTGTAATAGGATTTTTGATCAGCTAATTCATGCTTTAATTCCGTAAGCCTATGAATAATAGTTGCTAATTCAGCTTGGTATATATTGACATTCGATGGCAAATCCCTGTATTTATCACTATTCAGCAAAGTTGAGGCGCTACTTATGGAGCCTTCTTTCTCGGAACATTCACGTTCGATTTGCTATATTCGAAAATAAAATTATTTTTAATTTGGATAAAATGGAGGCTTAAAAAATTATTAACACAGGTTTAATGGATTAACAACCTTTAATTCGCGTGATATGCTTAAACCAATATGTTCTTTTGTTTAAAGTGACCTATTTAATAAATTATAACCTTTTTTTGACAAAATTAATTTAATAATCGTAATTAAAAACATTAAGAAATTAAAATCTTTAGCTTACTCTACAAAAATCTTTTAGGCAAAAATAAGAAATATAAAGATATTTTGATTTCGTCATAAAAGTGAATACAACGCAAAGATAGTTGTGTAAATGTAATCGTCTTTAGAGGTTCAGGAGGTAATAATAAAAGTAATATTAATATACTTTAATGCCCTTATTTAAATAGGTTTATTGGGTTGACTACCTCTAAAATAACAAATTTTAATATTTAAAAATAAATAAAGATATAAAAATTCGGGTAATTTTTCTACTAATTCAACTCTTGAATTCCAAATATTACATTAAACCATTCTCAATGGAAAATAATTTGAACGATGTCCAAATTTAACAGCTAATTCGATCCTACCAAGGAATTTACAACTCACAAAACATTTGTTATATACAAATCTAATTTTGATATATAAATTTATAGAAGAATTTCCTAACCTTCAGAGCCAGAAGACAATTTTTTAAATTAAAATTTGCCTTTTTTGAGGTAGTCAACCGGTAAAATTATCTGTCGATATCTTTCACAATATATTTTTTTCTCAAACTTCAATCCAATTAATCTCTTTGCCCATTTGATTAACGTTGAATTTGGACTTTCTTTCTTCTACTTGATTAGTAGTAGTGTCGATCCATTGAGTAAGTGGGTCAGCATGGGTTTGAAAATCTTCGGCTAATTTCAAACTGTTTTCTAATAAGGTTTTCTTGTAGTTGGCCTGTATATTTTATTTTAGTTAGAATAAAAATTATATTACGCTATTAAATCAAAAAATAAAAATATAGTAGCGTTCAGTACCATTTTTCTATTTGAGCCAAGAATTGTTTTTTGAGAATGCTTGTAACAAGCAAATTAACTTTTTAGCATAAATAGTAATTTTAAAATCAAAAATTGGTTGAGAGAGTTAAGGCAAACGTTAGTAATTAAATTAAGAAATAATTTGAAGGTTAATATAAAGAAAGAAATAATATCTATTATTTCTAAAAAAACAGCTATTTTATAGAAGAAAATTTAGAAAGTATAAATTGTTCTACTCCCGCCAAAAAGAACCAAAAAATAGTTGCAACCTTATCGGCAATTTCGTTAAAAATATTCCTAAAGCCTTCCATCTTGTTATCGAGTTGCTTCTTGATATCCTCCTTCTCCTCCTTCACCATCTCGGGAATATTCTTTCGTAATTCCTCCGTATTATTTTTTAGCTCCCCTAGTCTGTAACAATCTCTCTAATATATATTGTGATAAATATTAAATAGAAGTTGACTCGTTTGATTAATTATTTTTATTTATTTGGGAAGGGAAAGGAAGGGTGAGGGGGTTATTCAACATCCTGCTACATACAAAAAAGAGGATATTAGTCGTTGAAATTAATATTCGTTTGTAAGAATCGAATAAGGAATGAAATTCGATATAATTAATATTCAAATAATAAATTGATATTCACGAACCGAATATTTTAAGAGTATATTCTTCTGTTTTTAATACCAAAAAATCCATAGAAGAATGTCAATAAAGATGTCCATTATTTAGTGAAATATATTCATTTTATACCAAACATATGTCCAATTGTTCTTTGATATCCGTGGGCTTCGTATGATCCGTTTTTATCTCATCGATGTCGCCTTTCAAATCGGCCAAAGTTATTCGCGTTCTTTTAAGTTTGGGGGCTAGTTCGGGTGGAAATTCAAAGTTTTCGAAATTAGCTTTCAGATCGTTAAAACGGTTCTTTTAAAATAAAATGGGAAAGGATTCGATTAATTTATAAAAATTTTGCTAATAAAAGTCACTTAATTACTATCATAGAGTTATAATTCTCCTTCTAAGATCCAAAATCTTATCTTAAATTAATTTTAAATATGTTTTTTTTTGTGAATTTGAATAAAAATATGTAAAAATTCTTAGTTTTAAATTTTGAAAATTTTTTCGTCCAAAGTTATGATGGAAAAATCTTTGAAGATCACAAAATTTAAGATTTTTTTATAGAAGACCAGACCAAGATACTTTTATCAAAAAAATTTGTATGAAAGAATTTTTTATATGCGTAAAAATCACAAAAATTTTATAAAAAATTTTTGAAAAAAGTTTTGTAATTTTAGGCAAAATTTTATCAAAAATCATGCTTGAGCATTCTCAAAAAAATCTTCCGTAGGCCATTTCAAACTCTGAAAATTCTCTTATTTACAACAATTACGCTCTTGTAAAATTGATTAAAGTGGAGTAACCTTATAATAATCAAACGAAGATATGTATTTTAAAACAAAGATTAAGTCAACAATTTCAACTCGATTTTTTAGAAGTTTTATTTATATGATATTTAAAGTATTAACTTGAATTTAGGCGTTTCATATTTATAGATTTTATATAATAAACCTATTCAAATCAAATTTCAAAATCACAATATGTTACCAACTCTTATCTAAATTCAAAATTAATATTTTTTTTATAAATCGATGTTGCTAAAAAGGGCAATCGATTTACTCTTAAAATGCTTTAAATTTAATCAAATGATTCTGTAAACCAACTCAGATCGTATAAATGGTTATCCAACTCACTTTTAGTAATTGATAGCTGTGATGCGTAAAAGCCAGTCAAAAAGTAAAATTCAAATCTTATATATTTAATTATAATTAAGTTATAAAATAATTTTGTTCAACAATGGATATATAAGACCATAAATTAGTTAGGGTAAAACGGGGAAAATTATAACAATTTAAGAATTCATATCATATCATAACAAGCATGTTGGTCATAGACCTGCCCAAAGTGAGCGAACGTGAATTATATGGAGGCCCGCCTTCCATATAATTATGCCGATTTTTTTATCAAGAATACCAACAAACCTACAATACCATTATTGAAAACACCTAACCAAATGTTTAACAATACATAAATAAAAAAAGGCCAGATCAAATAAAAAAACAAATTAAATATCAGCCATTTACCTTAACGACTTGAAGCTGTCTAGCCAGCATGCCCGCCTTTTCCCTGTCCTTCATATCCCTTACATCCTTCTCTAATCTTTCGAGTAACTCATCTTTCGCCACAAAATCTCGAATCATTCCAGCATACTCTGGTTCTGATAGGTCACGTGCTTTGTATTCATCATCCACATGAGTCATTATCATGGCATCCTCGTGCACGATCCATTCCTGAAGTTTCAATAAGTCGTCGTCAAGCCTGGAGTTAGCATCTTGATTGTCAATAACGATACCTTCGGTTTCAACTTGGGATTTGGAGGATTTCCCTTTCGGGGATTTACGGTGAGGTTTGATATTGGTGGGAGAAATTCTGGATTCTTTGACTCGCTGAGTAAAAAGAATGTGTAGATGTTTAATAAAGAAATGAATTAGATAAGACTCGCGTTGCATAGGCACCCATTTTTATGCGAAATCTGCTTTTTTGATTTAACGCTAGTTTTAAAATATCGGACTGCAGATCCATGATGAAATTTAGAGTTTTTAAAAAATGGAACAATTAAATCGATATTCGTTTATGTAAAATATGGTTTAATTAAACCTAAATATTTTTATATGAATTAAAAAGGATTCTAAAAAATACCTCTTCGATCTGAGGAGTCACCAATTTCATTAAATCTGAATAGTCTGCCATCCTGCCTTCAACGTTGGCCGGGATAATTTTGTTTTTTGATAATAAACGAGCTTTTTCTTTAAGCGATGACATACGCCTTTTAAGCATATTAGGAATTTCGTCCAAAGATTTTATAGAAGGTTCATTGAGCTAAGAAAAATTTAAATAATATGTATAATATATTATGCCTTCTGGGTAAAATAATGTTTGATAATTCATGATATATTACACTAGGAATTTTAAAAAATTTAAAGAAAATTCTATAGAGGGATTATACTTTAATATAAAACCATCATAAACCTAAATTGGACATCGCAAAATTATATATTTTTTACATTATAGTTTTGTGTTGTTTATTCGTGAAGATTGTGAACGTGGGTCAAAAATAAAATGTTATTTAAGACTTTAATTTAAATTAATATAAAATAAATATTTAATAATTATGGAAGAGAAATGAATTCAAAAAATCATTTAAAAATAAAAATTTAAATATAGGCTAACTTGTGAAATGATAGATTTTCTTTTTTCGCCCTTGTGACCTTCAAAAGGAAAATACTCCAATTCCATTTTCAAAGTTTGTACCTTTTCTATTTCTCTGGTTATTTCATCTTTTAAAGGGATTATATTTTTATGAATATGAAAATATGTTTCATTTTTTAAATTTTTGTGATAATCGCTTTAAAATCCAGTTATAATCCGATTAAAATGGTTTTCGAGTGTTCAGAAATTTAGATATTTTTAAAAAAAATAAGTATGCTAAAACTGAAAATAACAAGATAGCTCTGGTTCAGAAACCGGGTACTAACAAAATTGCTAGTTTATATATATGTGTTGTTTAAAAAAATGTTGTTTGTTTTATTTTGAGCTAATTTATATTTTAATTTATTTTTTGATTACTTTAACAGTTTGGAACTAGAACCAGAACCTCTCGGAAAGATGTAAAATTTAAAAACCAGAACCTACTTTTTAAATTATTTAGAACCGTAGGTCTTTTTAGTCCAAGTTCCAAACTCTTGTTTGGGATGGTTGGTTATAAACGGTTTTTTAAATTATCAAATAAAGAATTTAAATTTTTTTAAAAAATTCATAATACAGAATGGTATAATTAATGAATAGCTTATATGTAAAAAGTGGCCCAAATCTAAGAAAGTTGTAAAATATTTAAAAATTAAAGGGCTTCTTTTACAATTAAACCCAACATAATCGAAATAAATATTTTTAAATAAGTTATATATATATCCTTTTTTTTCTTTCATAATATACTATAAATATATACCCTGAAAGTCGTTATAATCTTGCTGAGATGTTTGGTAAAAATCGGTGAGCCCGATAATTTTTTCCATCAGACTGTTAAATCTTCCATTTAATTCCTTTTCTTGTTCTTGCGGTATGGCACCCTGCGGATAAAGACCCGAAGGTAGGGAAGCGTAAAATTGTGTCTTCTTGTTGGATAGATCGTCCTTCAGGTTCTAGAGAAATTTGTAATATTTAGATTTGTTTGTTACGAAATTATAAATCTACTGATTTATTTTTCAAGAGATATCTAAATAAATGTTGCCCAAAAATTGCAAATTATCTCATTTCATTAAGAATTAAAAGTAGTGTGATAAGATATATATATATTGTTTGAAAATTTTAAAAAAGCATATCATTATACTTTAGTTTAGATCCAAAAAAATATTTTATGCTTACTAATTAAATATAAATACAATTTTTTTTTTGAAAGTTTATTACTTTCAAACGTTGTATTTGGCATTTTAAATCTTCCTCGCTGGCAACGTTTCTAGGTGAATCAAGATCTTTAGCTATTTTATCCAAATATCTATTATATTCATCGTAGCTGAATATCGACTAAAAAAATTTATTTAAAAAAAACATAAAAATACATGTGGGCCATATATTGAGATGGAAATGATTTTATTTGAAAAATTAATCCTTGTTTAAAATGATAATCTTTAATTGATATAATATTAAATTAGACAATAATTCTAGTTATCGTTTATACTTTATACTGCTTTTTATAAGAATTTACATAAAAATGAGTCAATAAAGTTCCTCGGTATATTTTTCGATTTTCATTTCTTATTTTTTAGTATATAACTACGAAGAGGCTTATGCAATGGTAACATATTCTAAATAAATGCAAAGTAACCGGAGGTAAAGGTGGAAACTTTATCAATATATTTTTTATTTTAATAACGGTAGCAGGTTTTTTCAAGCAACATGCCCAACCCTGGATAAGATGTCAAGTAAACAATTCATAATATAATTTTTTTGATATTTGTTACGTAAATTTAAACCTTATCTTTATCCGCTTGAGTCGTTATGTGTTTCCACGTTACGTTCAGGTTTTGAATCTCGTCTCGAAGCCTTTTGGCGAATTTAATGTCGGAATTTTCCAGTATTTTAGGAGTAACTAGATTGATGTTATCGAGAGACGGTTTAAGCAAGTCTACATTTTCTTGTAACCCCTTATGAGATGCATTTTGTTTTCAGGAATATAAGTTGATTAGACTGTTAAAATTAGCATAACTTTATTTTTATAAGGTTCCTCCGCTTTTAGTCATATTCTTATGGGGTCCCCGCCAAATATACCCTTAAAAGTATGTTGCAATGCCTATATTTGAAAAAAACCTAAAGTAAAAAGTCAATAAAGTGAATATTCTATTCGGTTGCAAGTCAATTAGATAGAATAAACATTTATATATTAATTATTAATTTCTATTTTTTAAAAAAAAAATATATAAATTTAAATGATTCAGCCAAAATCAATATAAACAATAAAACCCATATTTATTTTACCGTTTAAATGTCAATATAAGTTACCCATTTTTAAATATATCTTAATTGTGGTTAACTGTATAATATGGATTTTTAAATTAGACTATCTATGATTATATTAATTTAAATTGAATATACGAAACTTCAATAGGTAGAAAAAAATCTGATAAATCAAAGCAAAGCGAAATCTAACTATTGAAGTGCTCCATCTCCAAATAATCATTTAAAGTATAATTCTATAAGTAGAACAGATATAAAACAGTTGGTTAACAGTCCGACCCCTATCGGGCTCAGATAAAAATCGGACAGATATTTTTATTTGACTGCATCAAAATAATATTTTGAAAATGGCACTTTCAAATTATCAGATGATATTTCTTAAACGAAATGCAAAAAAACTTTTAATTCTTCCTCTTTGATTTTGTTGCTGCTGGGTTCTGTATCAAATTTGTCATTGGTATCCATAATTCTTTTCAAATCCATCATCCAAGATTTTAAAACATTAACTTCTTCCTATATATTTTATATAACATAAGTCATTTATAGATAAAAAAAAATGGACTAATAATATCATTTTAATAACCGAGATGAATTTTGTGATATTTTTTTTCCTCTTTTCATACCTTCCTATCTTTATTATCATTTTTTAAAAATTTAAAAACCCCTAAAAAATTTGCTTTTAGCTTTTTATATTTTATATTAATATTCTACTTTTGCAAGAATCAGTTTCATACATGTGTTAATATTATTATATTTAATCGAATCTAATGAAAGTTAAAGCAGGTTTACACCTACTTCACAAACCGAAAAATTATCCCAAAATGTAGTCGGCTGCATTCAAATCAAGTATAAGATATGACCGACAAATTAACTGGATTCAATGGTTAGCGCGACATTGAAAAAAATTTAGGATTGTGTAGCGGTATGAACCAATATTGGTTGAACTTCACTAATCGAATCTATAAATTGAGTTTGGGTTAATGGCTAAAAATCAAATAACTCGACTTAATCTATAGGTGCGTACCAAAGAAAATGCGCTAGACCATGAGGCAAGAGTTTTGTTTTCTTCGAGGTGGAGTTATATTATTTTTTAAAAACCAGTGGGTGGCTAAGATTATAGATTTGGACTAAAACCAGGTTAAGCGGCTAAAAATTGTCCAACTTTATTGGGAAGTACAAAAGGCACCCTAAAATTTTATATAGCCACCGTAAACTAATTTTATATTTGAGTAAAACGTTTTTTTAGAATATGTTACGTCCAAATAAAAATAATGACTTATTTTAGCACCCCTAAATTGATAGTTTTAGCGACGTCATCCATTTTAATAAATTCAATATCAAAAACTAAAATTAACTCAAATAATTTCGGATTTTTTTTATGTCAAAATAAGTATTCCAAAAAAGTATACTATTTAAATTGCCGTAAGGTGTTAATAAACTCTTATCTAAATTAAATTATATTATAGATCAAATTACTACAAAAAGAAACGTTCAAAACTACTCAATTCAATTACAATATTACCAAATTATCTCTTTAAAACCTTTTCCGCACGCAAATTGTTTATTAAATTAAGTAATAAATAACAGCAATAAGATATCCAGTGTAAAAATTCAAATCAAATAAATTTAATATCTCAAAATAATGTAGCGTTATTTTGTGTATAATTTAAATTAAGGCTTGTTTGAGACTAAGAAAAAATACCAAATAGTTTTTGATTAGGGCGAGTCTAGAATCCAGTTCTTTAGAGGCCTCCTGAGCCAATTCCTTAACCCCTTCGTATTTAGCCACTACGCGATCAATATCGGTTTGAAATTTGTCCCTCATGCTGAAACGAAAACTGGCGTCGTCGGCGGTTGATTTATCTTCCCATATGGAACGAATGCTAGTTAAGTTAGGGCTCTGAGCCTCGATCGTAGCTTGGATCTCCTAAATAAGTAAAAGATAAATCATTTTGGTTAATTCGTGTTTTAAGAAATATATATTTATTGCTCTTTTATTTTCTTCAAATGCCAATATTTTACCTAATAAAGTGGTATAAAGAAATCTTTAAAATTTAAACCATTTTTAGAGCGCGTTTCCTAATTTTCAAGTCCTGATTATGCTGGAATTGTATTCAATTATAGTATTTACCCTATATAAATTTCAGACAATTTTGTGGTAAAATCTTTCGTTAAGTTTAATTAATAATATTTTTATAAAATTGATGGAAAAATCGAGTGAATAAAAATCGATTCAAAACTTCATAGTAAAATATAAGTTATAGACAAGATAGATACTATGGTGGAATACAGCTTAGGGAAAATTTATTCTCAAAAATTAAAAAATATGTACTATAAATCATTTAAATTATAATGATTCCTCCATACCCTACTGTAATCGGATTGCATTAAATTTTTTAACCCCCCCCCTCTCCTCACAAGTATCACATATAAGAAATTAAGGAATGTTCTTCGAGGTCGGACCTTGAACTTAATTTTAAAAAATTAACTATTTTATAAATAAAACCTGGGTCTTTTTTAGCTTCTCCTTTAAAATTTCGGGTTCGTCATATTTGTTGGGATCCGAGATGAGGGAAGTTTTAACATCCTCCAGCCATTCATTTAGAGAAGCGAGAGGCTCTTGAAAACTTTGGTAATGATGAGCTTCCAGCATGTTGACCAACGTTTCGAAGTAATGATCTTTATATCATAAAAATTTTTTCTTTATTTCTTAATTCTTTTAAAAAACCATATTCATTAAATGAAAAGTAAAAGATAATTAAATTACTAGTTTGTTCGAACAAGCCCTCCCATCGATGGATCAAGTTTCCCGAATCCTTCGATATTTGAACTGCAGTTTCGTCTTTGTTATCTAAACTATTAGATATGGAGCGAGCAGTATTACGGTTCTCTTCTATCTTAGGCCATAAAGCCTTAATTTGATCTAGCTTAGCCTAAAATATTGTGATTTATGAAAAAATGATAAGTTAGCGTTTATTCTGATTCAAAAATCTAGACGGTGGTCTGGTCCGGTGAGATATTGATATGATAAAATAACAGCACCTATACGGTAATATGGCATAAAATAAGATACTATCTTACATTTTATTCATGCAAGCCATTCTTGGGTTTATTCTATTGGACTAAGAGGGGTTTATTCAAAAGTTTTGAAACTTTAATTTATTTGACTAAAAAAATTATATAATTTTTCCCTAGTCTCCATTTCCACAAAAATATTTTTTGATTATTAATTTTAGCCATAAAATGCTTTTCAATTTTGATGAAACTTGTAGTTGTAATTTATTTAATTTTACGTTTGTTTATTCTTCGTAATTATAATTCCGCAACCCAATTCTTAAGAGTAAAAAAAATGTAAAAACTTATCGCTTTCCTCTTTCTTATTTTTATAATCTTTTAGATATTTGTAGATCAACCTTTTTCTTTTTCTCATCAAATCTAGAGCAATTTTTTTTTTATTTGAGAATAAATTATAATTTTGGGTATAAATTGAAGGTATCAGCCGATACTGATAAATACCGTGAATATCAATGCATCTATGATATCAATTGTTGATATATCAATGGTGTTACGTTAGAATTTATAAGTTAGTTAGTTAGGTAGCGTTACGCTATAATTAATAAGTTAGTTAGGCTGCATTCATAGAGGCGATGCGACACGATGAGCTAATAAAATCTATTAAAAAAAGAAACACTTATCATATTATCATGATTGAAATTAGATATAAAATCAATATTAAGGGGATCTCAATAAAGGATTTAATAACCTCGATCAGCTTTTAATGACGTCGAATGGCGTTCACTGTTAATTCAGCAAGGAATTTTTTAAATTTAATAAGTAATGCATTTTAAACAAGGTAAGCGTGAAACAGTTAATGCTGGGCTAGATATAGTATAATAAATAATAATATAATTGCTCACCGAACAATTCTCGATAGCTTCCGAAAATTCCTTGGTTTGACTGACGGAAGTGAATTTAGGGTGTTCTCTGGCATTTCTGAACCACGTTTCCAACTCTTTCAGGGCCTCGTGCATATCATATATGTTGATGTGGAGGCGTTCCAAGGCGGATATTGGCTATTCATTTTTATTTAATAATAAAGCATTGAATAAGGGTTCAATTTTAATTTTTAGATAAAAATTTTTTCTAAAAGAACTAAATAATTGCAATTATATAATACAAAATTAATGGAAAAAAAATGTCTAAATGTCAAAAATAATAATTATAATTACCAAAACGACGACTAAATTGCGAATAGGATTAGGGACAAAAATAATTGCATATATATTACGCAACTACGTAGATACAAATACTTTTAAAAAAATAATCGCTTAATTATTGATATTTAAAAAAACCGATTTTTCGGGCTTATTCATGTGATCTTCCCATTGTTTTTCGTTTGCCGCAAGGTCAAGTTCAGGGAATTCGGTAGGAACAGATAGGCTTTCCCTCTTCTTGGCCAAATATTCGGGTATTTCCGAGAGGATTTCATCTTCAGTTGCTTTGTCCTTCTTTTGTGGAATTTTAACATCAATTTTGTTTATATTATGTATTTGTTTTTCCTTATTGTCAAAATAAAAAATTCCAATATAAAATGATTTAAAAAAAAATTCTGATCATTTTTAAAAACCAAAATACACTTTATTATTAATATTTTAATTAATAAAAGAAATAAGGATAAAATATCAATGGCATAACTATTTCCCTAATTCGGCACCGCATATTTACCTCCAAAATTAATCCATAAGATAATTATTTGGGTGGCAAATAATTATCTTGGATATCATCGTATTACATTAGAATTTAATGTTTATTTTAAAATATTTTATATTTTGTTTATATATAACCAATATATTTCAATTGGATTATATTTGGTAGAAAAGGCTTGATTATGATAACTTTATATTCCCTCGTCAAAAAAATTGATGGTGTTTTAATGATACTTTTGCAATTAAATCATCATCTGCGGTGAGATTTTGATCAACGTCTGGTGCCTTGCTTATCTCTATAGAAGGAATTTTATTCATAAACTGAGCCCTTTTATCGGTTATAGAAAGATTTTGACGGTCAGATTTATCTAAAGGCATTTTTTCCGTTGGAATTCTTGGAGTGAGAATCTTTTCCTCGATTTCAAAAGACTTGCTTGGTTTAATAATATTTTCATTAGATAATGGAGATTTGGAGGTAGAGGGTAAAGGTGGCATAGTTGATAGGGGTCTTGGGGCCCCTGTGTAATCAGCTATTTGGTCCAGTTTAAGCTTTTTAAATATAGGACTGGGCCCAGGGTGGTTGTATTTCTAAAATAATGGAGTCGAAATGGTAAGAATAAAGGAAATTAATTATTATAGTTGTTGATGTTTAGCAGATTATATTTAAACATTATAAAAATTAAAATTAGTATCAATTATTACTTGGGTTTGTAAACTGTCAATCTTGTTGATTTTAAATTTAATGTAATTCAAATTTCGTTCGATATTTTCGATGTTTTTCCCAACATCATGGTCATGTTTATGGGTTTTAGAAAATTCGTAGTATGCGTTTTGCAGATCTCCGAACTCTATTACTTTATTTTCGTATTCGTTTTTTATTTCCTATAAAGGTGGTATGTATTATATAATAAAGATCATTAAGCTTTTCATAATATAATTTAATATATTTGCTGTATTTAGTTCTTGTTTTCCAAACGATATTTTTCAAAATATATAATGGAACAAGAAAGATCAAATATATATATTAAAAAAATAGAATTTGGTCTATAGAAAAACCAGTCTTCAGCAATTAATACATTATAATTAACATAAAAAAAAATACCTATATCGAAATTATATTACTTCGAAATTTGGAAGATCTGAGATGGACCAGTCGTTAGGATTGAGACAATAATCCAATAACTTTTCGAGTTTAGATATGGCGCCGCTATTCCAATCCCTAAGTCCATCGACTTTTAAGCCAATTTCGCGCATCTCTAATTGATTAGTCGTGTCCAGTTCCAATTGGCCAGTGGGTGTTTGGTTAAGGGTGGTATTCGTCATCATGAGTTGGGAGATGGCTTGGAGTTGAGGGCCTAGGGTGTGTTGGTAACGCTTTTCAAGCCATTGGCACAGAGTTAGATATCTGTTTTGAAGGCTGGATAGCTTTTCTTCCAGATTTTTATATTCTTTTAAGAGAGCAAATTTTAAAATTTAACTATAACATAATTATTAACATTTATACGTAGAACTATAGGACCTTAAATTGTAAACATACTTTTTTGAGACATTACTTTACTACCATCATATAGACAAATAAAAAATCAAGTTAAAGTAATCACCACAACAAAAAACCCAGAACCTTCTTTTTATAAGTGGTCTGACTTCAAATTTCCAATTTTCCCATTAATAAAGTAGGAAAATTTACCTATTCGTGCATAATAAAAACAATTAATAGGTAAGATTTATTATATTCCAAAAAACTAGAAAAAAAAACAAGTTTAAGATGAAAAACAATCAAGAACTATATGTTTTTATCTATAAAAAATTGGATGATATCGATACCTTGATCGTCCTCACTATCAACAACCACAAGCATATTAGACAAAGGCTTTATGAGGTTTGTTCCAGTCTCAAATCTTTCTTTTATAATTTTTTTTTCTTCTGGATCCATTTGATCTTCTAGTCTAGAACTGGATGAGGAAGCTTCGTCCTTTATACGCAAGCCTTCCATGTCTTCGAGCCATTTTTCAAAAACCTCTATTTGTTGCTTTTGAAGGGTGTTGAGAGAATTTTGCAGCCTGTTTGTATGGGTAATATAGAAGTAAGAATTTATAAATAAATAATTCATACAATAAAAGGCATAACAAAGCTTACATAGTAATGCGCACAAATTGAGCGTTTACGTTTTGTCGTACTTTTTTTAAATAAAAATAAGTAATAGTGTCCACAAATTGAACGTTTCAACGCAGCGTTTTAAAACGCAAATAATGCATTCGTTTAAATTGGAAACATTTCCTTTTTGCATTTTAAAAACAAAATATTTACGTTCCTTGTAACGTTTTTAAATTTTGAAGTGATAGCATGTATACAACATCTAAAAAGTAAAATAATTATATTAAATGATACTATAATATTTTTAGCTTATGGAATTATGATATTACAAAAAGATTTGATAATTAAATATAGGGTAGGCCTTTTTTTGTTTAGAATTTAGATGTTTCATATTGAAAAAATAAAAGTTTACGCATCAATTTAAGCATAGTTGTGTTTACGTTTTTTTATTTGCGCTTTGAAATGCTGCATTAAAACGTTCAATTTGTGCGCACTTCAATGCATCCCATGTTTAAATCAAGGTTGCCTTTTTATTTGTATCGTCGATTCAAATTAGTTTTTGTAAATTATATTATGGTCTGCCTTTTCATTTCACCAAATGCTAAATATTCCATTTTGAAAAATAAGTTATTATTTTTACATTTTATATATAACATTTAATCAATGTATTGTGTATTAAATTGTCTATTTTATTATTTTTTTAAAATGTTTATTTTAATTATTTATTATATTATCTTGTGAATTTGCATAAACAAAAGAATGGGATTTTGTGATAAAATACAATAAAGAAATATATTTTTTGGCTAATACTTATATGTTAACGGTAATATAAAAATATTTCGAAAATACTACAAATATGAAATAAATATGATTCAAGAATGTAGAGCTGTAAACATTTTTTTTAAAAAATTGAACGCGTTCGCGTTCAACGTTCATTGACAAAAATCAATTCACTTTCAAAAAAAAGGAACGCGTTCACGTTCGTTTAAAATTTTATAATTTTTTTTTAAAATTTAATTTAAGAAAAATAAATGTCGTATATTTTTTAACACAATATATTAGCCATGATAAAAAATAATATAGATTTATTTTGATAATATAATTATAAATGTAATATAATATAGCGAATAAAAGGTTAATTTTATTTATAAAAAATTCTTATTAATTTTTCAAAATTTTCATCAGAGGGAACGCTTGACAGTTAATACGGCATTAGCTATACTAAAAATGCGCTCTACAGGCCATACTATGAGAGCGTTTTGCATATAGCTTCATGATTAACATTATCAAAAGCTCTACTGAATGTGAAACATTTCTGCATAATTATTTTCAGGGTTAATATTAGCTCTAATATGTTTTTATTTGGTCTGTACGAGAACATATGTATTTGGGGAAAAGATGAAGTGTTTATCAAAAGCTCTACTGAATGTGAAACATTTCTGCATAATTATTTTCAGGGTTAATATTGGCTCTAATATGTTTTTATTTGGTCTGTACGAGAACATATGTATTTGGGGAAAAGATGAAGTGTGGATGATAGATTTTATATTTTAAAGACCATAAAAATCTTTGAGGCAGGATATGAGGGCTACGACTCGGTAATAAGTAAATTTTTGGAGGTCTTTGATTTTAGGGAAATTACACAGGAAACTGGGGTATTTCCGTTCTCCCATATTTTATTGAAGAGGGCTAGTAGAAAGAAAGATATTGTGATAGGTGCGATCTTAGGTATTCAGCTGTGATATTATCCAGTTACGGAGCTTTATTTTTTAGTAGTTTTTTCACATTTGATATTTTATTAATGGAGAAACCTGACGGGAATGGTACGAGGTTTGTATTTATGTTGGTTGGTAGAGTTGCTTTTGAGTCGAAGACCATCATATACTAATCAATCCATAATGCCATTTTTTTGTCCTGGTCAATGATTGCTTTTACGTTTTCTAAAACTATAGAGGTGGGTTTTCTAAAACTGCAAGGTATATAGAAATATTTTAATTTTTTATAGGCGTCATAAATTCTATTTTCTTTCATATCTTTATCGATATCAATGCTTTTTTTGATAAGTAAATCCGTCTATCACTCCGTAATAATCTCTGTATGTTTTTCTATAAGTGATTATTCGAGCCATTCTTCATTCTTAGTTGATTTGTTTTTTCTAATGTCCCACTAGACACTCATTCTTTCCTTGAAAAAGACTTATATTTGGCAAACCATCATATGATTCTGCAAAATCATTTTTAAATAGTTTGCAGCATACTTCTACATTTCGATGCATAGTTATGTTTAAGAAGATAGCTCTTTTTCTATTTAATACTTGATCATAAATTATTACATCTTCCAGCGTTTGTAATTTACTGAGTTTACGTGTAAAGTTGTTTTCAAATGAATTGTACTAGATTCAGTCGAGTTTTGTCTAATTCTGTTATAAAAGCCCCATATATTTTTACTGTAATATTAGCTACAAGCATTCTATGATCCGACAGGCTTATATTAGTTGTGATGCTTTAAAGCCGTCAAACCACTGGTGAATATTAGAGGTGAAGAAATCAATTTGGGATTTCTGCCGAGCCCTCACTAAGGTGTATGTTTATTTCTTGGTGGCAAAAAAAAGTATTTTCGATTTTAAAGTTCTTGTTTCTGCAGAAATCAAGAAGTTTCTTGCTATCCTCGCTATTCGGTTGTTATTATGGTAGCATACCCGAAGACATTACTGCTAACATATTCTGCTTCTTTACTAATTTTCAGGTTTAGATCGCCTAGAACTATTATATTATATCTGCATGTTAGGGAATGGATCGTATTTTATTATGTCGATGAAGCCTAATTTTTCATTTCTAATTGGTGGGGCATAGAAATTTGCTTATTGTGGGTCTAAAATTTGTGCTTAAATAGAGAAGACCACATCTTTCATATACGGGTACGAATTTGATGATGAATTTATGTATGTTTATTTATTAGGAATGCTATCTCAGACCAGATTTTGGAAGTGCTATTTATAATCATTAAAATTTGCAGTGTTATTCCCTGGACAGTGGGTTTCTTGATTACCTCTAATGTCTACTTTCACAACTTCTAACCTTAAGAGATCAGTTAGTTTGTTTTTCATTCCATTTATATTAAGGAACCCAATTTATAACTTGCCTGTGAATTTGTTTTCCATTTGGTTATACTAACTTGAATCCTTTTAAAGATCCAGGTGACTTTAAAAATTTTTTTATTTTGTTTAGATTAAAGATTTGAAAAAAAGGTATAGTAAAGGAAAATTTAATTTAAAAGAATTTAGCTCTTATAAAAAAATTGAAATATGAAAAAGGAAAAACATCTGATTAAAAAATATAGAACTTTTTTCTTAAAAAATTTGGATTAATATTAAATTTTTCAAATAAATAAAAATAAAAAGTGTTTTTCGTCAAAAAAAAGAACGCGTTCACGTTCAAAGTTCATCAAAAATAAAAGGAACGCTGTTCATCATTTTTTTCAAAAAAACGAACTTCGTTCATACAACACTACAAGTATGGCATAATATAAATATAATTAAAATGGTGATTATCAGAATGGAATTAGATACTGGAGCTGAGGTAAGCATAATTAACTAAATAGATCAAAATAAACTTAATCGTTCTGGATTAAAATTGCAGGCTAAAACCTAAAGGCTATACAGGAACCAATATACCACTAAGAGGTCAGACTGTAGTAAAAGTACAATATAAATGACGAACATTAGAACTACCTCTCATTATTACAAAAGGATATACAAAAATCTCATTGAAAGAAACTGGACAACTAAATTTCCGAAAAAGACTGAAATACCTGAAAGGGCCTAATAAATTAATAACATTAATATTAAAAATGAATTTCCTCAATTGTTTATCAAAGAATTGAGCTGTTTGAAAGATTTTAAGGCACAAATGTATATAAAAAAGAAAAACTACTTTTCTGTAAATCACGTCCCGTAGCATACGCATTAAAAGAAAAAGTTGAAGAAGATTTAGACAGATTGCTAAAAATAGGAGTAATAAAAAAAATTGATCATTCACTTTATGCATCACCCATAGTAATTGTTCAAAAGAAAGATAAATATTACGAATTTGCGGGGATGTTAAAAGAACTATAAATCAAAATATAAATTTTGATTCATACCCAATACCATGAATCCAATATTATTAATCAGTTTGGGAAAAGGAGAGGAATGTTCAATATTGGACTTCTCAGATGCCTATTTTCAAATTAAAGGAAGTCACAAAATTATCTTGTAATCAATATACATGCAGATCGCGAATATTTGTTATAAATTTTGATTCATACCCAATACCATGAATCCAATATTATTAATCAGTTTGGGAAAAGGAGAGGAATGTTCAATATTGGACTTCTCAGATGCCTATTTTCAAATTAAAGGAAGTCACAAAATTATCTTGTAATCAATATACATGCAGATCGCGAATATTTGTATGTATCTTGTATCTAAGGTACAAATTATTTTAAAGTATCTGTAAACTAATCAACTTTGTATTCAAAAAGATACAGATACTTTAAAAAAATTTATATTAGTTAATTTAAATAGTATTAAAATTTAAAATTTAAATGAAAAATTTAATTCGAATTTAGATATTTTAAGATACTATATGATATATGACGCTGGTCGTAATATAGCAATTTGCAAATAACTACGATATTTTATTTGAATGGTTTTATTGATTGAAGAAGGTATAACAATATATTTATCTTCTTCAATGATTCCTCTATAGAAGAATATAATTATAAATTTAAATTAAGTATTTTAATTTGGAAATTTTTTCAAGTCACTCCTTCAATATACCAATACAAATAACAAAATTAGTGCAGAATGTAAAGAATGCCACAAATCTATAAGTGGCTCCGCGGACTCATCTCTAATTTTGTCAAGCATCTAAAAGTATAACATATATTTTATTATAAATCACATTTATAATCATATTTATTATCA